CGCTATGACAACGTAAATAAGTGCTACTTAAAAGTAAAGTAGCTGTAATCTCCCTCCTGCTCCACTCTTTATTACGTTTAGGTGTGTATGAAAAGTGAGTAAATGGGCGCTTTTATAGTGTACCGTGGCACGGCGCGATATCGTACGATTGTATCGTCACGATATAATAGGAGAGCACAACAAAAAATACATTTTCGTGCACGTCTATGATAACGTCGTGGAAAATATAATAAATTGTATAGGATAAAATGAGTAAATGAGTGATTTAATAATGTAATATCAATAATATGATACATTTCTTTTAATATTAATAATTAGTATATCGTATAACTTTATCGTCATGAACGATATAATAGGAGATCCAAGTTTTCATGATGATATAAAGGTAGAATATTGGTACTGCGCAATGGTAAATTCTAACAATATTCTATATAAATGCTTTTATTTTCATATACAATACCGTCGTGGAAAAATAAAAGCATTTTCATACAATTTTATATATTGCGCTTTCCAATTAAATATTTCTATAATTTTCTATAGCATAATATGATATCGTACGATTTTATTGCTATGATATATATTTTTCCCCTTTTTATAAAAAGGGGAAAAATTATATGCAATTGTGGGAATCGTTTCTAATTATCTGTATACTGAAATATCACGAAAACTTTTACATGTAGTTGCATGTTTACAATATACATTATATCGAATCGCTACGTAAAATTATAAAAATGAGGATTATATCGTGACGATAAAATTGTACCGTTCCATTGTAAATTATAAAAGCACCCAATAATTATTCCAGCGGATCTCTAGTGATATATAAATATTGAACTTTTTGAGCCACTTCAAAATTGTTCTCAACTCACCTGAATTTAATATTAAGAGAAAAACACTTGTACCTACTTTTATATCGCCTATATATTTGTTTTCATGTAAACATGTAAGCTTTTTGGAATTATTTTGTTCATTCAAGTGCAGGTTACGGTATTAATTCCGTGACTATTAAAGTTGCGACTCTGTATGGAAACTTTGTATGACTTGCATAGGAACCTCTATTCATGTAATATTTTCTTGCAGCAGCTTTGCTCACATGGCTATGTTTTGGTTTGAAGGATCCATGTCTCACCAGTAAATTACAGAGCATGAAGTCATAACAGGAGTCATGCGGGGGAAAGGGATTGTTAGTAATGGAGACTGAGAATCCCTTTGCTAGCAATATACCTAACCAGGTCGACCTGCTCGCGATTCTCCCTGGAAACTATCATGGTTAATTCCTGATGAATTCATCATGACGGGCTAACTGGCCTGTTTTCATTCCTAACTATCACCCTTCACTGATGCTCCGCCAGCGTATCCCGTTAGCGCAGGCAGGGTTACCATACCATTTTCACCCATTGAAAAACAGGAGTCATAATAGTCTAGAAAGATAGGAATTGTCAGTAATGTAGGTTTAAAAATTACCATATTAGCAATATATCCTACCAGGCAGTTGAAAATTATTATTATTATTTTATGATATTATTATATTCCCAAAGAGGGTTGACGTCAGGCAGGTGGCCGGTCGTAAAACTAAAAAAAAAACAAATCTTTTTGTAATATGGATAAAATCATATTACGCCGACCCCAAATGATTGGGATAAGGGTAGGAAGATGATGATACGATATTACTAGCTGACTCGGCAAACGTTGTTTTACCATATACATTATTTCGAGAACTATATATGGTATTTTTTCGTATTACAATTATTATATTCGATTGTCATCTTTCAACCCTATTGCGCCATATAAAAATCGCAATAAAAAAATAGGGGTTGGCCGTAAAAGCGTGAAAATTTTAATTTGTATATATTTTTCAATGCTAAATCATAATAAAATTAAAATTAAAAGAAATAATTTAGGGGTAGGCCATCCTTATTCTTGAGGGATACCAAAAATAGATGTTGGCCGATTCTCAGACCTACTCAATATGCACACAAAATTTCATAAAAATCGGTAATGCCGTTTCGGAGGAGTTTGGTGACAAACACCGTGACACGAGAATTTTATATATTAGATAATTATTGCATACCGGAGGGAGACTTTGTACAAAAGTCGTTTTCTTGGACAACTCTGTCCTATTTGTGTTTCTACCGTAAAGCAGTGTTTGCATGGTTATGTTTCGGTTTGAAGGGTGAGATATGACAGTGAATTTACTGGGTACATAGGAATAACACCTGAGTTCTCAGGAATGGCAATACATGGGGGTTATCATGAGCGAAACAGTATACTCTGTTATGTCCATGATACTGCTCATGTCTATAGGCGACGGTTACCACTTTCCATCCAGTGCGCTGTCAATTTACTTGTCATTCTAAGTGGCATAAAAAAAGGATTAAATTAACTTCAGACAACACAACTATTTATATCACTCATCGCTTGAATCAAGCCGAGGTAATCGCTTGAAAATAACAATTGGATCTGAGAAGTTAATTCCAGAACTACCATAATATTGGCATTATTTTTGAAACGTGTCCCAATATTAGCTTTAAATCGCGCCGGAATGGCTCTTATATGCAGTTTCATGGGGCATACGTCGTAATGGGGGCAACTTTCCAATTTTATGACACAGTCTTGTAATAACCATAGTTTAATGGGACTCGAGTCTGTACCGGACTGAGAAGAATTACATCCATACTGAATAAATGAATGAATGAATGAATGAGTATACTTTATTTGCATTATACAATATAGGAAATAAGCAAGACAATTAATAAATATAACGATACAATTGTATAAGTACAGTAAGGCGGTCTTATTGCTGAGAGCAATCTTTTTAAGACAACTTTAGGGTAATGGACTAATTGTTATACAAGTAGGTATGATAATATTATATAATTTATGAAGAAGGCCTATGTTTAGGAGTCGACAGTTAACTTTAATTAAGTTTATGAGAAATTATGAAACAACCGTCAATAATAAACTTAGTTATACGATTCACTTTCTAAACACTATTATAGCCCAAACTAAAAGAAAAAACAAATTATAGCTGTTAACCAGCATTAGCAATATGCCACAAAATACTTCGATTGCTCAGGAATATAGTTAGGCGTTTTCTTCGTGACAACCAGGTGGTCTACCATGGAACGAAATTCCGAAATTTCGGGATCAATTTCGTGGTTTTGTTCGTACCAAAATCGACCCAGTAAATGGAGCTTAACATTTCGTTCATCATAAATCTTATCCTAATAATCCAGAGGAATGATATTTTAACATTTTTAATAATTTTAAACGGCATGTATTATGTAATTTTAACATCAAATTTTTGTTTCGTTCGTGCCCGAACTTCGGAAAATATTTCATGGTAGGCCCTCTGTTCTCATGGGGACATTACCAATCGTTGTCGTCATCCGTGCAGGAATCTTCTTCTTCACAAGCCTGCTCATCGCACTGGCTTCATTTCCTATTCCTTCACTGTTCAAGCTTTTAAACACTGGAACACACTCCAACTTGACTTAAGATTAACTTTAAGTAAGCTTGCTTTTAAACACAAATTGCGCACCAATTTCTTAGAAAAATCACTTTCCCTTTCAACTTAATCTTGCTGGTTACTCTGTTTGAGTCATAGATTACTATTTGCTCTTCTATCATAGCTGTTTTATTTAATTGTTTTATATTGTAATATATTATGTATTTATTTATGTATGTATTCATTTTAACATTAAAATATATTTAATATGTTAGGTGTATGTTTATATTTTTTTTATACAACTTAGAATGGCAAACAAGCTGACGGCCCACCTGATGGAAAGTGGTAACCGTCGCCTATAGACATGAGCAGTACCATAAAAATTGTATAACTGGGCTATTCACCAAAGACCATCCACGGGGGTCGCTTATAACATTATCGTTGGTTATTTTGTTATGTTGATACTTCTAATTGGTTGCATAGATTCCTTTTTTCAGTTTTATCAATACAGAGCAGTGCTGACTCTTAAATAATTACTAGGAATGGGTCATTTGTAACATGTATATATTATAGCTACAATATATAGATATTGACCCAATAAATACGCTTCAAACTCTTTTCTCCTACATTCTTCACGACTCTGGAACGCGCTTCCTGATGCCATTAAGAGACTACTGACTAAACCGTCTTTCAAAAAAAGCGTTAACGCACACTTTTTATTTTTATCCGAGCAGTAAGTACTTTATATTATTCTCAATTTCGTGTATAATATAGTATATGTCATATATGTGTAAGTATATTTGTTATTCATATATATTTATTCGTTTATATATGTAATTTTAGTATGTATGTATATCAATAATTAGTAGTACCGCATTCGAGTATTCTGACACTTCCCTATGGTTGACTGGGAGAGAATGCTTTTAGCATTAAGTCCGCCATGTACACATATTTGTACTAATGAATAAATAAATAAATAAATACAATATTAAATATCAATTGTCCAATATATAATATTAAAATAAAATACCCAATCTAATTTCGATCGGGGTAAGTAAGTAGAGAGAGAGAAAGAGAGAGAGAGTCGTATGATAAAAACCTTTTTCATTATCCTCACTAGGGATCGGTAATATATAGTAATATCTATATATCTAAAATATTTATATATTGGCCTGTTTTTTCAATAGATAAAAATGGAATGATAATTTCGCCAGCGCTATCGGCATGCGCTAGAGAGATACCAGTGAGAGATGACACAAGAATCGCATGGAGTTCGACCTGTTAAAGTATTTTGTTACATCTAATTACTAATAATCCCTTCTCTCTCCTCTCACTCTCTGTAACAGATATATGAAGGTACAGTTAACGAAATTATAAAATAAAGAACCAAATCGAAAATAACACATATATCCTACTGGTACAGACCATATTAGAAATGGTCCATGACCTTTTTTCCGCCATGTCCAGAGAAACCCAATATATAGATATTGAAGTGGTACCATTGTCAACCCATCCCTAATACGTGGGCCAGTCATAACGATAATTCGGACATCAACAATATAGTGGACGCGTAACCGTCATTGCTGTATCAAAAACGACAGAGTGCGGACGGTCGACAAAATGATTGCAGAAATATTAATTTTCCTAGTTACAACCCTATTGTTTTATATTTTATTTGTATATAAAAAAACACACTATTTCTTCGAAAAGAAGGGCCTGAAGTATCTACCTGGTATACCGATGTTTGGAAACATGTATCATAGTACAGTGGGTACGAAGCATTACTTAGAAGATTTGGATGTTGTATACAGGGCTTTTCCGGATGAAAAGTGAGTTATTTTTTAATTTTTTCTTTCTTTCTTACCAATCCTTACTAATATTATAAATTTTAGCTTGTTTGCCATTCTAAGTGGTATAAAAAATTTTTTGGAGTCATAGTAATATAAAATTGTAGTAATATATACAAAAGTATATCAGTGTCTATTTTTTATCTTTTATTTTTTATTTTTTATATTTTTTATTATTTATCTTGTGTATATTTTTTAGTCTATTAATAATTATTACCATCCGACATAACCGTGTTGACGTTAAAATATATATGTAACTAGCGGCCCGGTACCTGCTTCGATATGTATAGAATGATATATCAAAAAAAAAAAATTAAAATCATCATGACGAATTCATCAGGAATTAACCATGATAGTTTCCAGGGAGAACCGTAAAGAGGTCGACCTGATTGGGTATATTGCCGGCAATGGGATTCTCAGTCTCCATTACTAACAATCCCTTTCCCCCCCGAGAAGCTTATGTTCAGCAGTGGACAGTTAACTGGTAATATGATGATAATGATGATGACTAGAAATTACCCGCGACTTTGTCTGTATGACCGGGATAGAATAGAATAGAATAAATAATTTTTATTTACGCTTTTTAATTGCCTTATATAATTTTAGACATAGTACATTTAAATAAATACACATAATGTTAACAGAGATTTAAAAGAGTAACTATATACATTTCTGACGCCAATAGTCACCGCTTGCTTTCTTTCCTTTTTTATCTAAAGGTTGTCTGGAAGACATTGCTTTAGCGATAAGACCGCCTTACTTACTTCATAAGTGTAATGTATATATATTTGTAATATTTTTAAGTGATGCAATAAAAATTAAATAAATAAATAACTGTTAAGTCTCTTGCGGATTCTTCTCAGCAAGTTATAACTTTTTGAATCCTGCAGTAAAAATGTCGATTTAAAAGTGCTTGTAAACAAGTCTATTTGTATGAAGACGATTCGATATTTGAATTTGATGTATAAAACAAAATAAAAAAATTGATGACGATCTGCGAACAGTACCATGGATATCGCAGAGTATACTGTGGCGACCAGTACTCCTAATGCATTCCTGTCCTGAAATATTATGCCTTTGTAACCTGTAATTTTACTGATTTAGGCCACCCTTTATATCGAAACACAGCCACGCAAGCGCGACTACTGCGCTGTGAAAACAAAATATACTATGCTTAAACATGCGGTTTTCACTAAGTTTCTATGTTAAATTTATATTAGTACAATATTTATTTATTTATTTATTCTTTATTGCACAATAAAAATTTTGTACAAATGGCGAGCTTAATGCCATATGGCATTCTTTACCAGCTAACCATTAGGTAAAATTAGAAAGCGTATGAAGGGTATGTATGAAATTAGGAAGCGTATGTATGCAATATCTAAATACTATGATAGGTGTATAAATATTATAAATATGAAAGTGAGTATGTTTGTTGTACTATATGGTCACATAGCTCGAAGAACCGATAATCGATAGGGAAGAAAGGTTCTTGAAATGGAGGACCCCACTAGATAGAGTGACGACCTCAAATGCGTCGCAGGGAGTCAGTGGATGCAGGTGGCTCAGGACCGTTCTTTATGGCAATCTATGGGGAGGCCTATGTCCAGCAGTGGACGGATAATGGCTGAAATGATGATGACGTACGTACTATATGAGACTTAGAAAGATATAGAACATTTTGCAGGTATTACATGGTATTGCAGGTATTCATATCAGTCTATGAGCGACGGTAACCACTTTCCATCAGGTGAGCCGTATGCTTGTTTGCCACCTCAGTGGTATAAAAAAAACATATTCCGGTTACACGGACGTAGTCGCGGATAAAAGCTGGTAATAAAATATTTACCTACCTTGTCACTTATCATAAAAGTATATAAATAACATATTTGTACCTAATTAAAATAGATGATAAATAAAATCAAAGTTTTTCAATCGATAACAAAAGTCGATAATAAAGATGTTCCGTAATGTTAATCAATAAATCCTTCCTAGATACTACTCGTAATCATATAAATGATAAACTGTTTGTCTGTTATCTCTTGGCGTATTAATTTAAATTCAAATCGTCTAATCAAATAAACAAGTAATTTTAAGTCTCCGTTAACATATATATATATATATATCCAGAATATCTTATTATAACGTTTAATGCCCATTCCCATGGGACACTCATGGGAAAGGAAGGGGTGACCATTCTATACCGGGACCAGATAGCGATTTTTATGTTATTATATTATAAATGTATGAAATTAAATGTATGTAACATATACTATTATAAATACTTGTATATGTGTAAGATATACATACATTTATTAGTATATGTTTTATTAATATGTACATTTTTTTATTAGATATATTTCTTGTAACAAATAGCTACCGCCTTCTTTTTTACTCCTCTACCCAAAGGTTATCTTGAAGAGACTGCTTAATAAAGCAATTTATTAATAAATAAAGACTGCTTTTATATAATATATAAACGTTATATATAAGCATATATAATTATATAAGCGTGATATAACTTATATTTTAAACCGACTTTAAAAAGAGGGAGGTTCTCAATTCGCCTGTTGTTTTTATGTTTGTTACTTCATAACTCCGTTAGTTGCAAACCGATTCGGAAAGTTCTATTTTTATCTGAAACAATGTACTTATAGATTGATCATGTATAAATTTTATCAAAATTTGTTCAGTAGTTTAGTTTTTAAAACAAAATAACTGGTTTTGCTATAATTGGAGTAAATTTTTTTGGGAATCACAAAAAAAATTTTTATGCAACTTAGAATGGCAAACAAGCTGACGGCCCACCTGATGGAAAGTGTTAACTGTCACTTATAGACATTAGCAGTACCATGGACATAACAGAGTATATATACTGTTTCGCCCATGATACTCCCCATGCGTTGCCATTCCTGAGGACTTAAGTGTTATTCCTCCGTACCCAGTAACTTCACGCCATATCCCACCCTTCAAACCAAAACACAGCCATGCAAACACAACTGCTTTACGGTTGAAACACAAATGGGACAGAGGTACCCAAGCAATCGACTACTGTACAAAGTCTCCCTCTGGTGAAATATTATTAATATTTTTGTATTATTATTTAAGCTGCGCAATAAAAAGTTAATAAATAAATTAGTCCATTATCCTAAAGTTGTCTTGGAAAGATTGCTCTCAATAATAAGACTGCCTTACTGTACTTATACAACTGTATCGTTACATTTATTAATTGTCTTGTTTATTTCCTATATTGTATAATGCAAATAAAGTATACTTATTCATTCATTCATAAACATTCCAGTTACGTCAAAAAAGTCGCGGGTAAAATCAATATATTATAAAACTTACAGGTATGTAGGCCTCATCGAAGGTACTTCTCCAATAGTCCTCATCCGAGACCCTGAGTTGATAAAAACCATTACAGTTAAAGATTTTGATCACTTCGTGAACCATAAGCAGTTCTTTGATAAAGACATCGACCCGTTGTTTGGTGGAAGCATTCTCATGATGAAAGGTACACACAATTTTTTTGTTTGCCTCCCGTAGGAGTGCAGCTTGTTGCCGGATATTAATTTCCAGGTTTTTTAGCTAATTTAATTTCCTTCTAAGTTTTCCTCACTCTTAACTACCATGTCCCCTTCATTCCTCATTTTTCATTCCACTTTTTCCCATTTGTCGTAACCATCTTATTGGTTTATTTCAAATTTCCGTAAATTTTTGTCCACAGTTTGTATCAGTTTTGGTTTGTCGAAGAACCACAGTTCCTTGGCATAGTGTTATTTTTATTGTCCGATACCATCCACATCCTCGCATATGAATCAGTTTTGTGTTCTATTATTCTCAGGTACAAGGTACACACAATTTATGAACTCCTAGTAATTTGTACTGTACTTGTTCTGAACCCCAATGATGACTTTGACGACGTAGACTTGATGATGTTACACAGGCTTACATTCCAATGGTTACAAATTCGATTCCAGGACAATATATTTATTTATGGGTACAAATATACATATGTATGTATGTATTGAATGATAAGCAAGCTGAAGTAACAATAGACTGGTCACATAACTCGAAGAATCGATAACCGATTGGGAAAAAAGGTTCTTGAGTAGCAACCCCGTACAGACAAACGTAATGTCATCCCACTAGATAGAGTAACGAACGTAATGTGTAAGTATATTTGTTATTCATATATATTTATTCGTTTATATATGTAATTTTAGTATGTATGTATATCAATAATTAGTAGTACCGCATTCGAGTATTCTGACACTTCCCTATGGTTGACTGGGAGAGAATGCTTTTAGCATTAAGTCCGCCATGTACACATATTTGTACTAATGAATAAATAAATAAATAAATACAATATTAAATATCAATTGTCCAATATATAATATTAAAATAAAATACCCAATCTAATTTCGATCGGGGTAAGTAAGTAGAGAGAGAGAAAGAGAGAGAGAGTCGTATGATAAAAACCTTTTTCATTATCCTCACTAGGGATCGGTAATATATAGTAATATCTATATATCTAAAATATTTATATATTGGCCTGTTTTTTCAATAGATAAAAATGGAATGATAATTTCGCCAGCGCTATCGGCATGCGCTAGAGAGATACCAGTGAGAGATGACACAAGAATCGCATGGAGTTCGACCTGTTAAAGTATTTTGTTACATCTAATTACTAATAATCCCTTCTCTCTCCTCTCACTCTCTGTAACAGATATATGAAGGTACAGTTAACGAAATTATAAAATAAAGAACCAAATCGAAAATAACACATATATCCTACTGGTACAGACCATATTAGAAATGGTCCATGACCTTTTTTCCGCCATGTCCAGAGAAACCCAATATATAGATATTGAAGTGGTACCATTGTCAACCCATCCCTAATACGTGGGCCAGTCATAACGATAATTCGGACATCAACAATATAGTGGACGCGTAACCGTCATTGCTGTATCAAAAACGACAGAGTGCGGACGGTCGACAAAATGATTGCAGAAATATTAATTTTCCTAGTTACAACCCTATTGTTTTATATTTTATTTGTATATAAAAAAACACACTATTTCTTCGAAAAGAAGGGCCTGAAGTATCTACCTGGTATACCGATGTTTGGAAACATGTATCATAGTACAGTGGGTACGAAGCATTACTTAGAAGATTTGGATGTTGTATACAGGGCTTTTCCGGATGAAAAGTGAGTTATTTTTTAATTTTTTCTTTCTTTCTTACCAATCCTTACTAATATTATAAATTTTAGCTTGTTTGCCATTCTAAGTGGTATAAAAAATTTTTTGGAGTCATAGTAATATAAAATTGTAGTAATATATACAAAAGTATATCAGTGTCTATTTTTTATCTTTTATTTTTTATTTTTTATATTTTTTATTATTTATCTTGTGTATATTTTTTAGTCTATTAATAATTATTACCATCCGACATAACCGTGTTGACGTTAAAATATATATGTAACTAGCGGCCCGGTACCTGCTTCGATATGTATAGAATGATATATCAAAAAAAAAAAAAATTAAAATCATCATGACGAATTCATCAGGAATTAACCATGATAGTTTCCAGGGAGAACCGTAAAGAGGTCGACCTGATTGGGTATATTGCCGGCAATGGGATTCTCAGTCTCCATTACTAACAATCCCTTTCCCCCCGAGAAGCTTATGTTCAGCAGTGGACAGTTAACTGGTAATATGATGATAATGATGATGACTAGAAATTACCCGCGACTTTGTCTGTATGACCGGGATAGAATAGAATAGAATAAATAATTTTTATTTACGCTTTTTAATTGCCTTATATAATTTTAGACATAGTACATTTAAATAAATACACATAATGTTAACAGAGATTTAAAAGAGTAACTATATACATTTCTGACGCCAATAGTCACCGCTTGCTTTCTTTCCTTTTTTATCTAAAGGTTGTCTGGAAGACATTGCTTTAGCGATAAGACCGCCTTACTTACTTCATAAGTGTAATGTATATATATTTGTAATATTTTTAAGTGATGCAATAAAAATTAAATAAATAAATAACTGTTAAGTCTCTTGCGGATTCTTCTCAGCAAGTTATAACTTTTTGAATCCTGCAGTAAAAATGTCGATTTAAAAGTGCTTGTAAACAAGTCTATTTGTATGAAGACGATTCGATATTTGAATTTGATGTATAAAACAAAATAAAAAAATTGATGACGATCTGCGAACAGTACCATGGATATCGCAGAGTATACTGTGGCGACCAGTACTCCTAATGCATTCCTGTCCTGAAATATTATGCCTTTGTAACCTGTAATTTTACTGATTTAGGCCACCCTTTATATCGAAACACAGCCACGCAAGCGCGACTACTGCGCTGTGAAAACAAAATATACTATGCTTAAACATGCGGTTTTCACTAAGTTTCTATGTTAAATTTATATTAGTACAATATTTATTTATTTATTTATTCTTTATTGCACAATAAAAATTTTGTACAAATGGCGAGCTTAATGCCATATGGCATTCTTTACCAGCTAACCATTAGGTAAAATTAGAAAGCGTATGAAGGGTATGTATGAAATTAGGAAGCGTATGTATGCAATATCTAAATACTATGATAGGTGTATAAATATTATAAATATGAAAGTGAGTATGTTTGTTGTACTATATGGTCACATAGCTCGAAGAACCGATAATCGATAGGGAAGAAAGGTTCTTGAAATGGAGGACCCCACTAGATAGAGTGACGACCTCAAATGCGTCGCAGGGAGTCAGTGGATGCAGGTGGCTCAGGACCGTTCTTTATGGCAATCTATGGGGGAGGCCTATGTCCAGCAGTGGACGGATAATGGCTGAAATGATGATGACGTACGTACTATATGAGACTTAGAAAGATATAGAACATTTTGCAGGTATTACATGGTATTGCAGGTATTCATATCAGTCTATGAGCGACGGTAACCACTTTCCATCAGGTGAGCCGTATGCTTGTTTGCCACCTCAGTGGTATAAAAAAAACATATTCCGGTTACACGGACGTAGTCGCGGATAAAAGCTGGTAATAAAATATTTACCTACCTTGTCACTTATCATAAAAGTATATAAATAACATATTTGTACCTAATTAAAATAGATGATAAATAAAATCAAAGTTTTTCAATCGATAACAAAAGTCGATAATAAAGATGTTCCGTAATGTTAATCAATAAATCCTTCCTAGATACTACTCGTAATCATATAAATGATAAACTGTTTGTCTGTTATCTCTTGGCGTATTAATTTAAATTCAAATCGTCTAATCAAATAAACAAGTAATTTTAAGTCTCCGTTAACATATATATATATATATATCCAGAATATCTTATTATAACGTTTAATGCCCATTCCCATGGGACACTCATGGGAAAGGAAGGGGTGACCATTCTATACCGGGACCAGATAGCGATTTTTATGTTATTATATTATAAATGTATGAAATTAAATGTATGTAACATATACTATTATAAATACTTGTATATGTGTAAGATATACATACATTTATTAGTATATGTTTTATTAATATGTACATTTTTTTATTAGATATATTTCTTGTAACAAATAGCTACCGCCTTCTTTTTTACTCCTCTACCCAAAGGTTATCTTGAAGAGACTGCTTAATAAAGCAATTTATTAATAAATAAAGACTGCTTTTATATAATATATAAACGTTATATATAAGCATATATAATTATATAAGCGTGATATAACTTATATTTTAAACCGACTTTAAAAAGAGGGAGGTTCTCAATTCGCCTGTTGTTTTTATGTTTGTTACTTCATAACTCCGTTAGTTGCAAACCGATTCGGAAAGTTCTATTTTTATCTGAAACAATGTACTTATAGATTGATCATGTATAAATTTTATCAAAATTTGTTCAGTAGTTTAGTTTTTAAAACAAAATAACTGGTTTTGCTATAATTGGAGTAAATTTTTTTGGGAATCACAAAAAAAATTTTTATGCAACTTAGAATGGCAAACAAGCTGACGGCCCACCTGATGGAAAGTGTTAACTGTCACTTATAGACATTAGCAGTACCATGGACATAACAGAGTATATATACTGTTTCGCCCATGATACTCCCCATGCGTTGCCATTCCTGAGGACTTAAGTGTTATTCCTCCGTACCCAGTAACTTCACGCCATATCCCACCCTTCAAACCAAAACACAGCCATGCAAACACAACTGCTTTACGGTTGAAACACAAATGGGACAGAGGTACCCAAGCAATCGACTACTGTACAAAGTCTCCCTCTGGTGAAATATTATTAATATTTTTGTATTATTATTTAAGCTGCGCAATAAAAAGTTAATAAATAAATTAGTCCATTATCCTAAAGTTGTCTTGGAAAGATTGCTCTCAATAATAAGACTGCCTTACTGTACTTATACAACTGTATCGTTACATTTATTAATTGTCTTGTTTATTTCCTATATTGTATAATGCAAATAAAGTATACTTATTCATTCATTCATAAACATTCCAGTTACGTCAAAAAAGTCGCGGGTAAAATCAATATATTATAAAACTTACAGGTATGTAGGCCTCATCGAAGGTACTTCTCCAATAGTCCTCATCCGAGACCCTGAGTTGATAAAAACCATTACAGTTAAAGATTTTGATCACTTCGTGAACCATAAGCAGTTCTTTGATAAAGACATCGACCCGTTGTTTGGTGGAAGCATTCTCATGATGAAAGGTACACACAATTTTTTTGTTTGCCTCCCGTAGGAGTGCAGCTTGTTGCCGGATATTAATTTCCAGGTTTTTTAGCTAATTTAATTTCCTTCTAAGTTTTCCTCACTCTTAACTACCATGTCCCCTTCATTCCTCATTTTTCATTCCACTTTTTCCCATTTGTCGTAACCATCTTATTGGTTTATTTCAAATTTCCGTAAATTTTTGTCCACAGTTTGTATCAGTTTTGGTTTGTCGAAGAACCACAGTTCCTTGGCATAGTGTTATTTTTATTGTCCGATACCATCCACATCCTCGCATATGAATCAGTTTTGTGTTCTATTATTCTCAGGTACAAGGTACACACAATTTATGAACTCCTAGTAATTTGTACTGTACTTGTTCTGAACCCCAATGATGACTTTGACGACGTAGACTTGATGATGTTACACAGGCTTACATTCCAATGGTTACAAATTCGATTCCAGGACAATATATTTATTTATGGGTACAAATATACATATGTATGTATGTATTGAATGATAAGCAAGCTGAAGTAACAATAGACTGGTCACATAACTCGAAGAATCGATAACCGATTGGGAAAAAAGGTTCTTGAGTAGCAACCCCGTACAGACAAACGTAATGTCATCCCACTAGATAGAGTAACGACAACAAATACATTGTAGGAAATCAGTGGATGCAGGTCGTTCAGGATCATTCCTTATGGCAGTTTATAGGAGAGGCCTATGTTCAGCAGTGGACAGATAATGGCTGATATGATGACGATAATGATCAATCGTCATCAGATGTATGCATTATTTAATTTGAAACTAGATGGCGTTATATTGAGTTATAATTATATTGCGTGAGATTGACTGGCAATGAAGCTAGCAGTCCACAGTATTCCACAGTCTACAGTATTATGCCTACTGTATACTCGGTCACTTCACTACTATATCCTACTCTTCAAATCGAAATTTGCAAATACAACTATTAAGCGCCAGAAACATAAATAAAACAGAGTCATTTAGATGATTTGGTACAGATGACAAATGGCGTGACATGCGAGTCACTCTGAGCCCAGCGTTCACTGGCTCCAAGATGAGGCTCATGATGAACTTTATGAGCGAAGTCAGCCACAACATCACGGATTATTTGAAAGGTATATTATTTTATTTATATGTAATGAGTTAATAAATTAATAGTCTACTTAAAGATAGGCGTCCATGTTTTGTTGAAATTATCACAAAAAAATTAACAACTACATTGATAATTTCTTTTAAGAATATCTTTATTTCCTTCAACAAAATTAGCCTATGGTACAATATAGCTATGACCCCACACTAGGCAAAGCCTGCCTCGTGGAAGTCAAAGCAAGTAATTTTACAGTTATGGTGCGGCGAACAGGGTTAATCTAATTATATGTTTCATGTGATTGATGTTCAATTTTCATAAATGAAATTAAGAACAAATCAAATTATTCAATAGATTGAATGGTTTTTTATTTGTACAATTATTGGACATCAACAGACGGTCTTACGGTAAATTGTTAGTTTATTTACATTTATTTATATATTTGCTCTTTAAACATCTGTAAAGTCTAACTGCGGTTGTAAACTCGCCCGCTAAATGTAGCAACTACTGGCAAAACTCCCCTTATGGGGAAGGCCTATGTTCAGCAGTGGACAGTTAATGGCTGAAATAATAATAATAACAAAATTTACAAAAAATAATTATTAAGAATTTACTATTTATGTCTAAGAGCATCTGTCTGAAGAGATTCACGCTGACGATTTGGTGCGTCGCTACACTCTGGATGTCATTGGATCAGCTGGCTTTGGACTTCAGGTGAACTCTTTGAGAGACAAAAACAACGAATTCTTTGAAATAGGCATGAAATTATTCACGTTCGACTTTCAACAGAAACTTGCATTCTTTATGTCAGCAGAATGCCCTCAAATAGCAAAGGTAATTTTAAAATTAACTGGTTGATTGATTGAAAACTAAAGACTAAAAATTAAAATAAAAAATTAAAGAATTAAATTGGTCTAAATATTTTTTACAGTTATTGGGAATCAGAATATTCCCACCTAAGGTGATGAACTTTTTTAAAGATATTATTACAAACACTATCAACTATAGAAAAAAGAACAACGTGATTCGATCTGACATGATCCAGCTATTGATGGAAGCTTCCAAAGGTTAGCTGCAAAAATCGTAACTTACTATTTACACATATACTTAAGTACAATACAAAACAGCAATGAAAACAAAATTGACAAACAACGTGCATTACCCAGGTTGTCTGTAAGAGATTGCTTTTAGCGATAAGCCCGCCTTTTGTATATGCACATTCTGTATAAATACTCCTTGTATACATCTCTACTGTGCGCAATAAAGAGTTTATTATTATTATTATTATGTATTATGACAAACTGAAATAAAAAAAAACTCGTCAACAGTATGATTTACAAGTTTACATTGCTTTTTTTCTTTTTTTTTTATGGATGATAATGGAATAGTAGCCCCGCCTGCGCTAACGGTATAAACTGGCGAGTCACCAGTAAGGGATGATAGGTGAGAATGAAAAAGCAGCTTAATAGACCTGAAATTCAGCACGATGGTTTCCAGGGGGGACCACATGGAAGTCGACCTGACAGAGTATATTGCTAGCAATGGGATTGATAGTCCACATTATTAACAATCCCTTCCACCCTGACTGTATAGACTAATACTGGTAAAATAGTAAGACAGTAATATTCGGTAAATATAAGGAAGGTGTGAATAAATATCGTTATGCCCTGAGATAAATATATTTAAGTTACTTTCAAAGTAACTTTAAAAAGACAAAATTTGTGCAGAGTAAAATAAAGAATATATAAACTAAGTTATGAGTTATGGGGTCTGTTTTATTATCCAACATAAAATAATGGTATTTATTCTAAACTTGCCTTGCATATCGATATAAATTATAATATACTAATATATTATGATGCAGTAAGTAATCTGAATGTCTTTCGCTTTTAAGAACGATAATGATTTTACTTTTTATATTTCTATTCCATAAAGCAATTAAATGTAAAAAAAATGCGGAAATATTTACTGTATCTTTCCTTATCGTATTTGTTTATTATTTTTGATTCTTCAAAAAATGGGTAAAGAGGTCTCTTCAGAGTCAGCGAAGCGCACGTAATGTCTCTGGTATTGCAAACGTTCATGAACTATGGTAACTGCTTATCATCAGGTGAGCAGTATGCTTATTTGCCACCTCAGTAGTATAATATATTTTTAAAATGTAACTGCAGGGACACTAACAGATAGCAGTGTTGATAAAAATGATGTTGGGTTTGCCACTACTGAAGAAGCGTTGAAGCCAAGAGGTGACACAAGAGGTAAATATCAACAAAATGAAAACATTTTGTCTAAAATATTAAACAAAGATTCATATTTCCTTGTAATACATTTAATTCTTCCTTATACAAAAGTTAATGATGTTTGTATAGTACAGCATACTAAAATAACTTGCAGCTCATATTTCTAAAATACTATAAATTATCATGCGAAAATAATAAATAAATTTAGACAGAGTGGAATTTTAAAAAGCATTTAATAAATTTAGCAATTGCTTCTAGAATGGACGGAAGATGAAATAATTGGACAAGTATTTGTATTTTTCGCGGCTGGCTTTGAAAGTGTTGCTGGTGTGATAACCATGTGTATCCACGAATTGGCCTTAAATCATGAAGTCCAAGAGAAACTGTACCAGGAAATTCTGAATCACCAGCAGACCAACGAAACTTTATCTTATGAGAATGTGACCCAGCTGAAATATTTGGATTGTGTAGTCAATGGTAAATATTACTTGAGCCAGTTAAATTTAGAGAGAATAAAAGCCATTTAGGAACTAATAATATGATTAAATAACTAGCAAGAGATTATATTTATATAGAATATCTTTGCTAAATGAAGCTGAATTTAGACACTAAAAGATTACAAGTTCTTTAATTCAAAATTACGAAGATGATGTGTGACTTTATAAGAATTAAATAAATGTTACTTGTAAGTCATAATTATATAAAACAATATGTACAATGAGATAAGCATTTGAATGATATTAAACTGCATTTACAGAATCATTAAGAAAATGGACTGGAGCTATCTTTATGGACAGAGTATGTAATAAAACCTACGAACTGCCTCCACCGCGGAAAGGTGGAAAGCCTTATCTTGTAAGTGTTGAAAATACGAGTATAAAATAGATATATAAGATCCTTTACACTACAAATGTATTCATTTATTTATAACAAGATTTCAGATGAAATGTCAGCAAGTTGCATTTTATTTTTCTCACATGCATGCTATAGTGTACACAGATTTATTTATCAATTATCACCAGAGCAAAATTTGATTATAAATTGGAATCTATTTAACATATATCTGTAAAAAGAAAGATAGAAATCTTCATTGGCAACTAACTGCATTTAGAGTTTATAATTTATTTATTAATTCGTAGTTTTGTATCAACATCTATTGCAAAATAAGTTACTTTTTGTACAGTCTTAGTCTACTGGAAAAAATTATCTGTTCATTAATTCAGGACGTAGTTGATTTCTAATCTAAATTTTATATTTAACAATTCGTCTACAGTATGTGAATGCGTAAAAATACCCAGATATAGATTAATAGATTACGTTAATTGGTTGATATAATAAATATGATTATAATTTTCAATTTATCTAATGTCCTTTTATCAGCTCCGCCCTGGCGATGTGGTTTACAACATGGTGAATCTAATTCACATGGATGAAAAATACCATCCTAAGCCCGAAGTGTTTGACCCTGACCGCTTCTCTGATGAGAACAAACACAAAATACAACCTTTCACCTTTATGCCTTTTGGCATGGGACCGAGAAACTGTATTGGTAAGTCGCTAGAACTTGTAAAAAATAAATAATGTTTGTTACCTTTGACCCTAAATCCTTTGCTGGCGTACGTAAATTGCATTAATTTTTTGCATAGTTTACCAATTGATATCTTTTTTCAATGTTTCTGATTGATCTGATTGATCTACTAGGGATCTAAAACGTTAATCGTGCCATTATATTCTTTTATAAAGCCATTATCGAAAGTTTAAATTTTGATAACAAAAAAATATTTTAAAAAATCCCAAGCAATTGATGCAAAGTTTTTTGCAATAGATTCATAAGTTTACTAAGCAAACTCCCCTATCTCTTGCATTGAAACTAGTCAATGATATTTTGAGCCAGTATCCGCAATTGGATGTATTTGCCTCCAACTTTCAGGAGTTTCGTCGAGTGACCACAGAGTATGGTATTTGTGTTCAGACGTTTTTTGTTAGAGTTAAATCTTTTTATATTATTTTTGTGTAATATTACTTTTTATATGTTATTGTACTCGTATTGGAAGACTGTAAGGCTCACCCAGTGCATGTAATAAATAAATAAATAATCAGCATTTTGATTCGTTAGCAGAGCGCTTTTTAAATAATCAGTTAAAAACATTAAATTTTGTTCAATTGTTTTTGAAAATTGACATATACTCGTAATTGCATTGCCATTTTTGGTAAATTATGAATGCTGTTAAATATCTTTATCAACAAACTAATTACACAAAACTGTTAAATCCATTCTCATGCATTTACTTGATATCATGACAAAGTAGCTCAGCATTCATGCTTCTACATCTTCAGCAATCATTAAAGTAAGCATTAATTATACTTTTCAGCATCTAGATTCGCGCTTTTGGAAATAAAGGTGTTCATATACGATCTGGTGCTGAATTTCAAGATTGCCAAAAGCAAAAACACTTCAGACCCTATCCGTTTGCATAATAATGATTTCAACATTAAGGCCATGGGTGGTACATATGTGAAATTTGAACCTAGATCTACACAATGATCACGAAAAACTATATCACTTAATAAAAATGTAAACAAACAAGTAAGCGACCCGACCAAAAGAAATATTGTGAATATATATATACAGAATTGAAATAATCTTCATTAAAATAAATTTTTATTTTTGAAACTATTTTAAATTATCATTTTTTAAGATCCTACTGCCGAGTTCGGAATGTTGTTACCTGCTAAGAAGAACCTGCAAGAAATTCATCGTAGGAAGACTTTTATACAACTTAGAATGACAAGCAAGCTGACGGCCCACCTGATGGAAAGTGGTAACCGTCGCCTATAGACATGAGCAGTACCATGGATATAAGAGAGTGTACTTTTTCACCCATGCGTTGCCATTCCTGAGGACTCAGATGTTATTCCTCTGCAGTCAAAAGTCGATTTTGATACAATTTCTATAGGACCAATCTGAGAATATATACCCTCTCAGTTAAAAAAATTAAATCGATTTATAACTGACGAAGTAATGGGTAACAAAAATAAAAAATACAACCGAATGGAGAACCTTCTTCTTTTTGAAGTCGGTTAAAAATATAAACTAAAATGACTTGCACTTATATTTATTATGTGATAATGAGTGGCAATGATGATAAACCAGTAAAAACTAAACCACTATCTACTTTGCTTACGACATTCATGTATCATGACAAAAAAGAATAATATTACGTTAATACAAATATAATGTGTATATATACAATAGTATTATAAATTTTCCGTATGGTCCCGGCATAGAATAGGCCACCCCTTCATTTTCCGTGGGTGTCGTAAGAAGAGACTAAGGGGGGACGAAAGATGGACAGCAGCCTCTTAAAACATCATTAAAAGTCTGACGGCCACCTGATGGAAAGTGGTAACCGTCGCCTATAGACATGAGCAGTACCAAGGACATAACAGAGTATACTGTTTCGCCCATGATACCCCTCATGCGTTGCCATTACTGAGGACTCAGGTGTTATTCCTCTGTACCCAGTAAATTCACGCCATATCCCACCCTTCAAACCGAAACACAACTGCTTCACGGTAGAAACACGAATGGGACAGAGGTACTCAAACAATCGACTTTTGTTCAAAGTCTCCCTTCTAGCAAAACCCTTTTAAGGGGAGGCTTATATTCAGCAGTGGACAGTTAAAAGCTGATATGATGATGATGATGATGATGAATACGAGAGGAGGTTAAAAATTTGCGGAATGAAGGGAAAGGGGGTTGAAATTAAACATGAAACTATTTTTTCTTTTCAATTTATCAGAGGGAGACTTTGTACAAAAGTCGTTTGTTTGGGCACCTCTATACCATTCGTGTTTCAACCGTAAAGCAGTTGTGTTTGCATGGCCGTGTTTCGGTTTGAAGGGTGGGATATGGCGTGAATTTACAGGGTACAGAGGAATAACACTTGAGTCCTCAGGAATGGCAACACATAGGGGGTATCATGGGCGAAACAGTATATTCTGTTATTTCCATGGTACTGCTCATGTCTATAGGCGACGATTACCACTTTCCATCAGGTGGGCCGTCAGCTTGTTTGCCATTCTAAGTTGTATAAAAAAACAATATATTTGTATTATAAATGCGAAACTTTGTATGGATAATTAGATATATGGATGGATGGACGAATATTTGTGCTGTCGTGAATGTGTCACTCAAAATCTACTCAACGGGTTTAAATTAAAATTGGTACACGAGTAAGTTATATCTTAACTTAGCACATAGGATACTTTATGTACTTAAAAATTCACGTAAGAAAAGTCGAGGGATACAGCTAATCTACAATAAATTTCATTTAAAAGTATGACTTATTTATGTACCTAATCCAGTTCCTAATGGGGTTTCGTTGAATTCTGACTTTAACAGCATTAACAGCATTTGCAGTTCTAACAGCACGCGGCCGCCCCGATAAAAGATCGGATCTAGTCTTTCACAGAGGAAGTGTTGTTGTATCTGTTGATAGTACGATATACGAACATACAGCTGATACCAAGCTTTTGAAATATCTGTAATATGACCGACAGCCTACCGACCGACCTATTTTCTTTAACACCCCATTCCATATTGTAATTTGTTAATAAACACGAAAATAATGTGAAATGGCGCGAAATCGAAAGAAGTTTTTAAAATAATAAACGTGTTCCAAATTCAAAATAATTAAAAAGTTAAAAAAAAAGAAAAGTTTTTATGTAACAGTATTTAAGGCCAGACTAGTATGATAAAAGTACAACATTTTATCGTAGGTCGCGGGTTATCTATAACTGTATTAAAATGTTTTAAAATTAACTTTGTGGTTTTTACTCTAGAAAACAAAAACTGTGGGATATACTTGTTTATATTATATTATTTTATTTTGCTACTAGCCGTTTCCCGCGGTATTACCTGCTTCTACTTTTCTAGTTCCGTATATCATTCCCATTGCAAATCTTCATGAATCTGATTGTATATTGTATTACGAGTATATACTTAAATGATATTTACATACCTTCATAAAGTTTCAGTTAATTCAACTGATCGGTTATTTTATGTGATTTTTTTAGATTAATATAACTTTATTTATTTATGAACCGATTAAAGTAAAACAAACATTACAAGTTCAATAGAGTAAGCCAAAACGAATTAGTGAAATCCGCGTTTAAATCGGTTAAGCCGTTTCTGAGATTAGCTTGCGCAAACATATAGACAAACAGACCAACTGACAAAAATTCTAAAAATTGTTTTGTGTTCTATTGCGTTTGTTAGATATGTATTTTAAATTATATTAATTTTCTTAAACATCTTGTGTTAAAATGTGTATCTACATTTATTAATAAAAATCAGACTAACTACTTTAAATATAATAAAACGTTAAAATCGTTATTATACCAAATTTGGTAATAAATTATTCTTGTAATGTATATAGAACACTAATTTATATTTTAATTAACTTTATAATTATTTCATGAGACTTGAATAAAAAGTAATGAAATTGTAAGAACACGTGGTCTCACTGACTTGTTCACTCAAATTCGGCCGTGTGGATATAAAAGATTGTCATTTGGGTAGGGAGACACTTCTTGTCCAACCGTTGAACATAGCGGAGCTCCCTGTCGTATCAAGAGTGAACAATTATAGTAAACCACGTGGTCATTATATAAAATATATCACAATTATTGTTGATGGAAGTCCTAAAGAAGCTATATTTAAATAAGTGTCAATGGACTAACAGAAATTGGGTATTTATGTTATATTATTTGTTATATATCAAAAATAAAGTAAAATAAGTAAATATATGATTTAATAGTATAATATCTAAATTAAAGGAACTATAAAAACTTGTGCTTTATTTCTATTTATTACTAAGAGGCTTACAACTTTTATATTGCTAAAGAATATATTATATACATATATGTAAAGTTAGTATTACGTAGTACCCCACATATCATTTTATATATATATTAAATATTATAAATAAGAAATTGCCTTTCTAAGACGTTTATAAAGCCCCCCCCCCCCTCATAATAGTTTTTCTTATATATCTTCCATGTACAGACCAGTTACGATTTTACTATATGTATTGATTTATTATTTTATCCTCTTCCCTCCGGACCGCGGAAGCGTTTAGACGTGTCCACTTATTTATTTGTTTAATAAATTAAAAACCGAGTACTTGGCAAGCAAAAAGTAATTGTAGTTGTTAGTGATCTAAGGTTGGAAATACTTGGGAGTTAAGACGAAGACAACATTGTAAACTACGCAGCGCGTGCGGTGACCACTCCCCCCGCGTGCATTCACTTGTCGGCCGCTTAGATTATAAGCGACAGCGATTATAGTGAGTAATTATTAATTTCACTTGTAATAATTTTTACATTCAATCAGTGTGAATATTATATTGCAAAGCGATTTATAGATTATATAAGAACCAGAATGCCTATAAATCGCTCTCCAACGAAACCTTCAGCGACAACCAAATTAAGTTGTCTGACACTTCAACATAGCTCATCTGAGCCAAATATTGCAGTCAATAGACAAACAAATAATCCTGATGGTGAATCGCTGTGTATTACATCACGTGCCAAACGCAAATGTTCGGACTCGAGATCAGATCTAAACAATGATTTATCAGCTTTTATGTTAGAAATAAGAACTATGATCTCAGATTTTAAAGACCAACAGAATAAAAATATGGAAAAGATTTATGAAACGGTGGAAAAAATTAAGATGCAGAATAGTGATATACAATTGTCAATAAATTTCTTATCACAAAATTACGAAATTTTAAAACATCAAATTGACCAGTTGCAGGCGGACCGTAACAGTAATTTGATACATATACGAGAATTAGAGGATAAGTTGGAAAGAATGGAACGTAGCGCTAGATCTACTTGTGTAGAAATTAGAAATATCCCTGTAAAGAAACAGGAGTCTAAAGAGGATTTATTGAACACGGTAATAAAGACTGGGGCTATAATTAATGTTTCTATTCAGCCACATGAAGTAAAGAATGTTTTTCGTGTAACCGCGAGAGATCCATCAAATAAGACCGTCATTGTAGATTTCAACAGCAATATTTTGAAAGAAAAATTTATTCAAATGTCTAAAAGGTACCGTAAAGAGGGAAAGTCATTAACTACTGAACATCTGAAAATTAGTGGGCCATCAAAACCGTTATTTATATCTGAAAACTTGTCACCTAAGATGAAGAGATTATTCTATTTTGCTCGAGATTTCTCGAAGAGTAATGGTTACCGCTACTGCTGGACGGTCAATGGAAAAATATTTATAAGAAAAAATGATGGTGATACTTTGCATTATATTAAAGATGAGATAGATTTACAAAATTTGAGTGCCGCTAAGTGACTAGTTGTTTTTGTTCACTGCAGTAATTGTATTCTTTGTATTGTACTCCATTTAACCATAATCTTTGTAGTGATCCCTATTTTTGTCACAATATTAATTTATTACCACTATTTATTATTGTCAAATACTTTTAATTATCTGATATATGCAACAATAAACTGTTCTAATCATATTACACTTTACACAACATTTTTACACTTACACATATTTTTTTTCGTGTGTGTGCAGATTCATTCTAATTTAAAAGAAGCCAATTCTTTTCAATACATTTTTTATATTATTAATTTTATTTATATTGTAGATAATTGTAACTTTAATAGTAAACTTAATTTATATACCTCGAAAATATTTGTAAAATCGTATAACATGTTAATTTCATCTATAGATAATGGATAGTACACAAATCGCTAATGATATAGATCAATTAACAGTTTTTAATTCCTATATAACTTCCCCAGAGCAATGTAACACTTATTTAACTAATGTTACAGATTCCCTTAAAATTATACATCTCAATATAAGAAGTCTAGGTAATACCACAAATTTTAATAATCTCTTAATACTTCTAAAAAGAATTAGCATAAATATTGATGTCATTGTTCTATCGGAGTGTTGGCTTAGTAAGTGTCCATTTATTCCAGTTATACCTGAATTTGTATCCCATAGCACTGACTTCAAAAATCAAAATGATGGAGTAGTAATTTATATTAGACACTATATCGCTCATACTATTGAAAAGCCAGTATTTGTTGATGCTAACTGTTTAATCTTGAAACTTTCTACTGAGGTAGTTCTTATTGCATTATATCGTTCTCCATCATATCAAAATATTAACAATTTTATACATAGTCTGAATATAATTTTTAACTCGCTAAAAATATTTAAAACTATAGTGCTTGTTGGTGATATTAATATAAATATAACACCTAATAACAATGACAATAATTCAGATATATATCTTAATACAATTTTAATGAATGGTATGCTGCCAGGACACTATTTCCCAACGCGTAACGAAAACTGTTTAGATCATGTAATGATTAAATCTAATAAACCAGCAATGACATTGATTCTTGACTCCTTAATTACAGATCATTCTCCTTTAGTTATTCTTTGCACACTTAAAGTCGTTAAACAAAAACATACTAGTTTTTCTAAGCGAACAGATATTTCTGCTTGCATATCTGAACTTGATAAGACTGACTTTTCTTCCGTAATACATTCTAATGATGCAAATGCTGCGGCTAGCACCTTGGTCAATATTATTTCTAAAGTAGTTCACAATAACACTCGCACTATAAATATTTCTAACAAAAATAGAATCATTAAACCTTGGATAACAACAGGACTCTTGCGATGTATACGTAATAGAGATAAACTTTATAAAAAATCAAAAAGAAACCCAAACAATGATATAGCTAAGGTAATTTATGCACGTTACAAGTATTTTTGTAATAATTTACTTAAAAAAGTAAAACGTGAATATGAGCGAAGGGAATTCTATAAAAATCGAAATAATCTAAAAGGTACATGGAATCTCATAAAGTCTGTGTCTAATCTTCACAATAAAAAAGTGTCGGCTAGTGAGCTTCTTTCAATGCATACTGACCCTTTACAGTCAATTAATGAAGTTAATAATTATTTTTCTAATGTTGGAAAAAATTTAGCATCGAAAATTGTATCCTGTCCTGGTGTCTCTTCCTCTACCACCTCTAATTCTGATGTTGATTTACAATGCTCAATAGCTCAACCATTACATTCTATGGTTATATATAACACAGACAATGAAGAAATCGAACGCATTATTACAGGTCTAAAATCGGATTGTGCGATTGGTTATGACAACATTTCAGCTACTTTGATTAAAGCTGCTAAACATACTTTAGTTCCAATCATTTGTCATGTTTTTAATGTTTGTATATCTTCTGGAATTTTCCCTGTAGTGTTTAAAAAAGCACTTGTACATCCTATATATAAAAGCGGAAACAGAGATAGTGTCAGTAATTATAGGCCAATTTCTATATTAACAACATTATCAAAAATCTTTGAGAAAATTCTAAATTATAGGCTTATAAAATATTTAAATAAACATAATATTATTGCTACTAACCAGTTCGGCTTTACATCTGGAAAAAGCACAGAAGATGCCATTTTGGAATTATCTGGCTCTGTAACTAACCACATTAATAATAAGTTTAAGACTATTGCAATATTTCTCGATTTGTCAAAGGCATTTGACACTGTCTCTGTCCCGTTATTAATTCGCAAATTGGAGCAAATTGGTATAAGAGGTATATCGCTTGAAATCTTTTCAAGTTACTTGTGCAATCGTTCACAATTTGTAAAAATTGATAACTATATTAGCGGGGAAGAGTTTCTTAACTACGGCATTCCACAAGGTAGCGTCCTCGGACCAACGCTGTTCCTGATTTATGTAAATGAGCTTTGTAAGATCGAACTACCAAATTGTAAAATAGTAACCTACGCTGACGATACTGTCATAATTGTTCATGGTAAGGATTGGTCTGAGGCTCAGATGTATGCTGAATCTTCACTTCAACATGTGATGCGATGGCTTTCCTATAATTTATTAACACTAAACCTAGATAAGACAAAATACATCACTTTTGCTCCAAGATTATCTTCTCAACCCTCTCCCTCGTTTTCCTTGACTGCACATATGTGTAAGTCATCAAATGTCAATTGTCAATGTGTTAAAATTACCCGTACTAATAATATAAAATACCTCGGTATACAAATTGACAGTACCTTGTCATGGAATGTTCAAGTTGAATCATTAATATCAAGAGTTCGAAAATTAATTTATATTTTTAAAAACCTCAGAAATTGCGCAGATTTAAATACCTTGAAAAATGTATATTTTGCCCTCGCTCATTCTATTATAGGATATTGTATCCCAGTTTGGGGAGGCTCTGGAAAATGCTTATTTTTAAAATTGGAAAGAGCCCAACGAGTTGTTTTGAAAGTTATGATCAATAAACCAATTTATCACCCAACAAATGAGCTCTATAGTTTTTGTAATGTATTGACTGTAAGACAAACATATATATTTAGAACAGTATTACGTAGACATTCGAATACTACATTTAATGCGGCTAATGACAATAACAAACGTAGACCTAATAAGATTTGTCACACTCCATTCACAAATTTAGTAACAGTACGACGTCAATACCAATATCAAAGTTCAGTATTATATAATAAAGTTAACAAAGAACTTACCATATATCCACGTACATTTCGTGAATGTAAAAAAATACTGTACCAATGGCTTCATAAATTAGACTATGACAGCACCGAAAAACTATTATGTACTTAAATTAAAATAACTACGTTTGTATATATTAAATAAACACACACACACACACACACACACACACACACACACACACACACACACACACACACACACACACACACACACACACACACACACACACACACACACACACACACACACACACACACACACACACACACACACACACACACACACACACACACACACACACACACACACACACACACACACACACACACACACACACACACACACACACACACACACACACACACACACACACACACACACACACACACACACACACACACACACACACACACACACACACACACACACACACACACACACACACACACACACACACACACACACACACACACACACACACACACACACACACACACACACACACACACACACACACACACACACACACACACACACACACACACACACACACACACACACACACACACACACACACACACACACACACACACACACACACACACACACACACACACACACACACACACACACACACCACACACACACACACACACACACACACACACACACACACACACACACACACACACACACACACACACACACACACACACACACACACACACACACACACACACACACACACACACACACACACACACACACACACACACACACACACACACACACACACACACACACACACACACACACACACACACACACACACACACACACACACACACACACACACACACACACACACACACACACACACACACACACACACACACACACACACACACACACACACACACACACACACACACACACACACACACACACACACACACACACACACACACACACACACACACACACACACACACACACACACACACACACACACACACACACACACACACACACACACACACACACACACACACACACACACACACACACACACACACACACACACACACACACACACACACACACACACACACACACACACACACACACACACACACACACACACACACACACACACACACACACACACACACACACACACACACACACACACACACACACACACACACACACACATACACATACACATACACATACACATACACATACACATACACATACACATACACATACACATACACATACACATACACATACACATACACATACACATACACATACACATACACATACACATACACATACACATACACATACACATACACATACACATACACATACACATACACATACACATACACATACACATACACATACACATACACATACACATACACACACATACACATACACATACACATACACATACACATACACATACACATACACATACACATACACATACACATACACATACACACACACGCACGCACACTAACTTCCAAATACTATATAACTTATACTAGTTCCTTTGCATGCTATATAACTAAACTAATATAATATAACAACATAATAATAAAATGTAAAAATAAATGTAAAACTAAATGTCTAAATATTTATATGTATGTTGAGCACATATATATGTGCTACATGTAGGTATATGTTTTTTTTCTTGTTTAATTAACAGTTTTATTTATTATACTGGAACGCTAGCGCTTCTGCCTTGAGGAGGTGGGCGTTGACAGCCACGACACAGTTATTTTTAATTAATGTGGCTGTTATCGTACACTACCCTACAATTGTAATTTTTTTTTTTTTATGGTTCCAATAAATACAAATACAAATACAAAATATTGAAATAAATTCCGCAAGTAGGTGCCTCAGATCAATGTAAATAAACGTTTTATGCTATTAAACCGACTGCCGCAAAAAGGAGAGTAATGTTTTTCGAATGTACGTATATTTTTTTAGACAAATTCGATGTCTAGCTAGTATCTAAAAACAACTTTGTTGGAATTAATTGAAGTTTAGAAAATATACTTGAATATACTTGAATCTACATCATTATATTACTTCTCTTATGTTAGAACATTCTTATTGTATATATTGTATAAAACGAGTACCTTCTTTAAAAAATAACATGTTCCATTTCTTATTTTTCCTACTCCCATCATCTGTTAACTATCCACTGCTAAACATAGGCATCACTATACGAGATGCCAGTGGTTGCCATGTTTGGCAGGCGGGTTGGCAACCGCAGTTAGGCTTTGATGTTATTTTAAGAGAAAGCTATTATGGAGTGATAGATATTAATTAAATAATAATATATTAGGTACTAGGTAATTAGTATTCAGTAGGAGTTTCTACAAGAAATTCTTTTAGTTTATTTTTATAACATGCAATAGAATTAATACGTGAAATCTTTTATATATTTTCGTAACCTTGTAATACAGCTGCGCATTCTCAAACTGTACTTAGATATTTTTATCCTTAAAACATATAATACCTTTTTTCTCTAATATAACTGTAGCTTTTTTTCTTTTCATGTAACAATAACTCAAGAGCATTTATATTTAGAGTTTCATTTACAATACTATTTTTGGAATGAGCAAAGTAAAAGGGACATAACCTTCTACATAGAGTGAAATCTGACACGCTTTACCTGCATCACATAAATTATTCATTGAATTCAAAGAGAAGTGGCCCCAGGATTGATCCTTATAGAACGACAAATACAAATCTAATAATAATACAATATCTTTCTCCTCTCAAAAGGAAGTTCTCAATTTCCTTTGTTTATTGTGTCTGTGCTAATTATGTTACCTAATCTGAACCGATTTTGAGGATAAGAGGTCATTAGTAATGGGTTATAACAACGTCATTGCTATCTATTAATGGATGATAATGAAATAGTAACCCTACCTGCGCTATCGGTATACACCAGCGGGGCACCCGTGAAGGATGATAGGTGAGGAAGAAGCAGGTCAGTTATATATATATATATATATATATATATATATATATATATATATATATATATATATATATATAGTTAATAAATAAATATACAAATAATAATACCTTAATAAATGTACCCTTCGTATTACGTCTAGTACAAGAAAATATATTTAATCAAAAACCTTCTACGTATGTCGCATCAACTATAGAATCTGTCGTATGTACTTCAATCACAATATGATATTAATATCAACGAAGCAAGGTCAATTCTGCTCCACGGCCATTCATCTATCAAAAGCGACAACAACTAGTACTGCGACAGTATGATTGGAGAACTTATAATATTTATAATCACCTCTACATTTTTTTATTACTTGTACGTGTATAAGAAAATACACTATTTCTTTGAGAGAAGAGGTGTGAAATTTCTATCCGGCGTTCCGATGTTCGGAAACATGTATGACAGTACATTTGCCAAAAAACATTATGTAGAAGATTTAAACGCTGTATACAGAGCTTTCCCGGATGAAAAGTGAGTGAGTTTTAGTTGATTACTATTTTTTTATTAAAGTTTGCATGTAAAAAATATATAAAGAATCTTTATACTTTATTGTACATAAAACATACTGTTAATCACAATTCATTATAAAAATAATGTACAAAGGCGAGCTTATCTCTAATAAGAGATTTCTTCCAGCAAAACCTTTTCATGTAGATATTTCTTCTAGCAGATAATTTTGTCCACCTATATATTATACACTGACGGGGCAACAATAAGGGATTATTGGTGATGATAAAAAGGCAGGCCCTCTAGACAAGTGGCAAGCAAATTCATCGATAGAATCGACATCGCTAGTGAGTCCGTGAGATAAAATTAGAATGAGACATTCGACGTTGCTATCTCATTTTATCTCACGGACTCGCTAGCAATGTCAACTCCATCGATGAATTCTCTGGGTTAGATCAGTTAAACCATCGTGGCGAATACAACGATAAATTACTTACTTACTTACCAGAGGGAGACTTTGTACAAAAGTCGATTGCTTGGGCACCTCTGTCCCATTCGTGTTTCAACCGTGAAGTAGTTGTATTTGCATGGCTGTGTTTCGGTTTGAAGGGTGGGATATGGCGTGAGTTTACAGGTTACAGAGGAATAACACCTGAGTCCTCAGGAATGGCAACGCATGGGGGTATCATGGGCGAAACAGTATACTCTGTTATGTCTATAGGCGACGGTTATCACTTTCCATCAGGTGGACCGCATCTTGTTTGCCACTTTAAGTTGTATAAAAAAAAAATTGTCATGATGACTTTCAGGGGAAACTGTGTGGAAGTCGACCTGAAAAGGGTATATTAATAGCAATAGGGGCTAACCTCCCCATTATTAATAATCCCCTCCCCCTACTTATATATTTAAATCATGTCATCGCCATATTAAACGTTTATCTGTCCAGTGCTGAACATAGATTTCCCCCATATACTACCATATGGAAAGGGGCCATTCCTTATAGCAGTTTACCATTGGGGGATCTTGGCCCAATGTTTTAAGTCATATTTTTACCCGCAAATAAGAGGGGATTGTTAGTAATAAGAACTAATAATTACATTTAAATTGACCATCAAATACCATTGTGATTAACTCCTGGTGAAGTCGTCGCGATGAACTAACTATCCTGACTTCATACTCATTTACCATCTCTCACCGATACAGAAAAAAATAAAAAATACAAGCTACGCCAAAAAATTATGTTTTGATAGATAGACACCTAAATAATTTAAATGCATTACAGCACACTAATAACAATACAAACATACACATACATAAAACAGACATACACAGTAAAAGAGATAGAAGAATGAAAAACAAAAAAGCAACAAAAAAAAACAAAAAGCAAAATATATAAAACAACAATTTCCTTCTTTCATACGTGTGCCATAATAACACAAAATGGTCACAACTCAGTTTATTGCTTTGCCCTGAAAAGAGCAAAACACTGATATTCTGTTGATACCAAGAGTCAGTCTCGAAATTCTTTAATAAAAATAATAATAAAAAAAGAAATCCGTTTACAAATATTTACAGGTACGTTGGTCTCATAGAAGGCTGTACGCCAATAGTCTTGATCCGAGATCCTGACTTGATAAAAATGATTACCATTAAAGATTTTGATCATTTTGTAAACCACAAAGAATTCTTCGATAAAGACATAGATCCGTTGTTCGGTGGAAGTCTTTTTATGATGAAAGGTATGTATTATAGTGATCAGTATTTTTTATTTACTTACATTCGTATAAAAATTTTTCGTGAACAATATCCTAAGAATAAGCTCATAAGAAAAAAAAGGGATTATATAAATCACTACGGATTTAGATTATGCCCGAACATGCGAACTATAGGCGACGGTTACCACCTTCCATCAGGTGGACCGTCAGCTTGTTTGCTATTCTAAGTTGTATAAAAAAAAAACATTCTCGTGAATTTTCATTTTTGAAATAAATAAATATTTTATTTTAATTATAAATATTAAAATATAATATATTATATAATTTTGATAATTTTTTTTAATTTACCTCCCAGTTCGGAATGAAATTTCCGCTGAGATGAACGGACAAAAAACTTAGCTGTTGCTTTTCAACTTTTTTCAAATAAAACTTGAGCTTTTGATAAAATGACAAGAGAACTACAATCAATTACGAATCATGTTTGTTTGTTATTGACTAACTTCCGGGCGCCATATTCACTCTCTACTGTAAGAGGAGCCTATTTAGCCAACTGTTTATTGCCAAACTGGTCATCATGCAATAATTTCCTTCTTCTGATATATTGTGCTTTGTCCCTTTAATGGTCTCATATCCTGGGGGTAAAAGTAATAATACAATATCTATTCTTTTTCTCGGTCTCTATGCCACACTATTCACATTATTGATATAGACAAAAACTTTATCTATATAAAAGATTGGCGTGAATTTACTGGGTACAGAGGAATAACACCCGAGTCCTCGGGAATGGCAACGCATGGGGGGTATCATGGGCGAAACAGTATAGTCTGTTATGTCCATGGCACTGCTCACGTCTATAGGCGACGGTTACCACTTTCCATCAGGTGGGCCGTCAGCTTGTTTGCCATTCTAAGTTGTATAAAAAAAAAAAAAGATAATAAATCATTTAATGTGAAAATTTCGAGAATGGTTGGGCCAATCGATAATTATTTTTTTCACAAATACTCTTTGAAATCCGATGCACGTACTTATGAAGTGAAAAATTGGAAAAATTACCAGGAAATACGTAAAATTCCAATTTTTCCCTTCGTACAAATTGTTCTTAGAAGCCAATACAAAATGTTTCAATCAAATACCTATTGTCAAATAGTATTTGATAAAATAACGTTTATAAGGTATTTTAATAATTAATAATATTTTAATAATACTATATTATTGTTTTAAATTAATATAGTTTATTACGTTTGAATTATATTTTCTGTTACTACTCTCTACGGTCGACTGGTAGATAACGCCATTATGGTGTTATGTCCGCCATTTACACTATCTAGGTGTATTAAAGTTTAATAAATAAATAAATAATTACAGATGACAAATGGCGTGACATGCGAGTGACTCTGAGCCCAGCGTTCACTGGATCCAAGATGAGGCTCATGATGAACTTTATGAGCGAAGTCGGCCATAACATCACGGATCACATAAAAGGTTGAACAGCAAAACTTTTAAGTGTTAACAGTATGCACGTACTGTTGAATAGTTTCCGCCATCTTGTTTTTTTTTTTGGATGCAAGGTTTTTTTCTTTCAGAAAACTGACCACGAATGTGATCAAATTTGTAAACGATCTTTTTTTTTCATATTTTCTCACTAAATCATTGTACTTATACCGAACTACTAATCGTCAGGAGGGGATTGTTAGTAATGCGAACTGCCAGTTGCATTGCTAGCAATATACCCTGTCAGGTTGACCTCTACATGGTCCCCCCTAGAACTCATCATGCTGAATTCCAGATGTATTCTTCTCACTAGTGCCCTGCCGGTGTATACCGTTAGCGCAGGCGGAGTTGTCATTCCATTATTATATATTTTCTTATACAACTTAAAATGGCAAACAATCTGTCGGCCCACCTGATGAAAAGTGGTAACCGTCGCCTATAGACATGAACAATAATACCATGGGCATAACAGAGTATACTGTTTCGCCCATGATACCCCCCATGCGTTGTCATTCCTGAGGACTCGGGTGTTATTCCTCTATACCCTGTAAATTCACGCCATATCCCATTCTTCAAACCGAAACACAGCCATGCAAATAAAACTGCTTCACGGTTGAAACACAAATGGGACAGAGGTACCCAAGCAATCGACTTTTGTACAAAGTCTCCCTCTGGTAAAAAAATACATACAGAGTTGTAAATAATGAACATATATATATGGCTTAACAACACAAATATTCTTTAAATATTATAAGTAAATATAATATCAAAGTGAGAACAGGAACACCAACCCATCATTAAAAAAAAAAGAAACTTATTTACACTAATTGAAATTGGTTTATAAGGAAATTTAGTTTAGGATAAACTCAGGAATATATGTAAATATGAATTAATAACTCTATCAAATATCTACCTACTACCTACTACCACTACTAGTTTATCCTAAATTAATGTTCAAAATTGAAATAAATTTTTTTGTGGAACTCAATTTTAACTGTTGACTCTATCTTTACAGAACATATTTCTGATGAATTTAACGTTGAGGATCTGGTACGTCGGTATACCCTCGACGTCATTGCATCAGCAGGCTTCGGGCTTCAAATCAACTCTGTTAAAGACAAGGAAAATGAATTCTTCAAAATGAGCACAGATCTATTCGTTTCTAATTTCAATCGGAAACTTGCAATGTATATATGTTCTCAATACCCACTATTTGGAAAGGTAATTAAAAGTTATGACCAAGTATTAGATTATATAGATAGAGTATCTCCATACAAATGATACGAGAAAAGCGGGTCAACTTTTTCATACAATTTAGCTTAATAAATATTTTTTTTTATACAACTTTGAATGGCAAACAAGCTGACGGCCCACCTGATGGAAAGTGGTAATCATCGCCTATGGACATGAACAGTACCATAGACATCTATAGGCGACGGTTACCACTTTCCATCAGGTGGGCCGTCAGCTTGTTTGCCATTCTAAGTTGTATAAAAAAAATATGTCCAACTACTTTTGTAAACGAGAGAATTCGTAAGGATTTTCGGAATGATAAGGAAGTTAGATGTCTGTTGCTCTTTCATGCAAAAAGTTATGAATGGATTTTAATAATACTTTGTACACAACTAGCACTAATTAAGTACACGAGATACACAACAGCTAGTAACATAATGTGAATAAAGGAAAAGCAGTGGATGAAGTTAACGCAGATACCGTAATAAGCATGACATTAGAAGGAAATCGCGGGCAAAAACTAGTAAATAATACGAAACGCTATGATTTTGTATAACTTGTTCGCATTTGTTAATGTTATAATCTGTCTAGAAACAAAAAATAATATGGGTCGATGAACAAACACAATTAATTAATACATAACTTAATTAATAAATTATTCATAATATTACAAACTGAGGCCTCTGTGTAAGAGAATGAATAAAATTAAACTAGATACAACATTTTATATCAAAATTATAAATTACTAGCTATTTCATCCGGCTTTTTCTTAGAATCGGTACATAAAATATTCTATGAGCGAATAAACGAACGAGTATACTTTATTTGCATTACATAACATAGGGAATAAGCAAAACAATTAATAAATATAACGATACAATTGTATAATTACAGTAAGGCAGTCTTATTGCTGAGAGCAATCTTTTCAAGACAACCTTAGGACCAATTGTTGTATAAGTATGTATTGTATAATTAAGAAAATTAACACAATTTTAGTAAGTATATAACCTACTCGTGAACCAAATTTCATACAAATCCGTAATTTTAATTTACTGGGTACAGAGGAATAACACCTGAGTCCTCAGGAATGGCAACGCATGGGGGGTATCATGGGCGAAACAGTATACTCTGTTATGTCCATGGTACTGCTCATGTCTATAGGCGACGGTTACCACTTTCCATCAGGTGGGCCGTCAGCTTGTTTGCCATTCTAAGTTCTATAAAAAAAAAAAAAAAAAAAAAAAAAAAAAAAAAATCCGTTTAGTAGTTTTTGCATGAAAGAGTAACAAACATACATTGTACCCACCCACCCGTCGTTACAAACTTTCTCATTTATATTACGTATAATATAGGATTTTTTTTATAATTTTATTTTACAAATTCTTTTACAGAAATTAGGACTTAAAATATTCCCGGAAGAGATCACGTCCTTTTTTAAAAAGACCATTACAAGAACAATGGATTACAGAGAAAAGAACAATGTGGTGCGACATGACATGATACATCTATTAATGGAAGCATCCAAAGGTATGTGGATAATATAAAACAATATATATATATATATTTTTTTATTGGATGAAAATGGAATGGTAACCCCGCTCCTGCGCTAATGGGATACGCTGGCGGGGCACCGGTGAAGGGTGTTCGATGCGGATGAAAACAGGCCAGTTAGCCCATCAGGAATTAATCATAACAGTTTCCAGGGGGAACCGCGAAGAGGTCGACCTGGTTATATTGGATATATTGCTAGCAATGGAATTCTTAGTCCCCATTACTAACAATCCCTTTTCCCCCCTATATATATATATATATATATATATATATATATATATATATATATATATATATATATATATATATATATATATATATATTTTGCCCAATAACAGATATATTAGATATCAGTTATTCAATATACACAATCAAAAAGATATCCCAGTTATTTTTTATTTTATTTATTCTGAATTAGGCACACCAACAGTATACATATTATACATAAATTAAAAAAACATTTCTTATGTAGTATGCTGATATGCATACCTATAGCAGGCGTACACAACATTGACTACAGATTATATGTATATAAATGTCATAATATAATTAATATAATAAATTAAATTTACAATTACATATTCTTTCCTACAAAATTCAATTAAATATAAAACAAGATATAATAAAATAAAATAAAAAGATATCCCAGTTACGCAGACGAAGTCGCGAGTACTAGCTTTAGTAGCACAATAATTACAGTATGGTGTCAAAATGTATTTGTAACCGTATTTTCATTTTACCTTCCCTATTACCAGGTGAAAATATTATATCAATATTTATACTGTGATAATTCGAAATGACTTCAAGAACTGCTCGAGGCGTGATTATTTAACTGCAGTAATTCTATTTGCATATTGTTTAAGGAACTTTGAAAAATACTTCTATTGAAAAAGATGACGTCGGATTCGCTACAACAGAAGAAACCCTGAAACCAAGAAGTGTTACAAGGAGTTAGTATGACAAAATAAATAGATATTTACGTATTTATTAATTAAATTTTAATACACCTACATAATGATGATAATGAATGAAAGTGTAAATGATCGACTTAACACCATATGGCGTTATCTGTCAGTCTACCAGTATACCGTACCAGTCGACAGTATATTAGATTTTCTCAATTCAATCAGTCTCGAAATCTGTAACTAAATATCTTGTTAATGTTCTTACATATTATAAAACATAGTTTTAATTCGTAAATATTTCATTTGGAAATAATAATATTACTTTAATAGTTATGTATATGTATATGTGCGTATATCAATGTTAATCTTACCGCCATTATTTGCTATATTTAGAAAGCCGTGATAGATTTATAGGATTGATAGTAAGGTTCATATTGTAAATAAATTTAATCAATAATTAAAAAAAAACAATAAGTATTTCACAATAAAACAAATAAAATTTTAAAATGTCCAAGTTAACAAAACACTCTCTAGTCGCTGGCCCGTGCGCGGGATGCGCGCGCAGTCAACAATCACAAAGCGCCTGCGCGACCTGCGCGCGCATCTTGCGAATGAGTCCTGTGACCAAGCGCCATGTTATTTATTTATATATATATATATATATATATATATATATATATATATATATATATATATATATATAACAAAATGTTAGTTTGTCTGCTTGTTTTTAACTAATAAAAATTTAAATTAAAAAAGTTGATATACATATATATAATAAACATTGGTGAGTATTATCTCACCACAGATTTAACGAAATGTTTTACATACATATTTATTAACGAAATTGAATAAATAATACATAAGATTTCATTAAGTTGATTAATATGCTTCTAGAATGGACAGAAGATGAAATAATCAGTCAATTGTTTACATTCTTCGCGGCTGGCTTCGACAGCACGGCTGGAGCCATAACTTTTAGTGTCCACGAATTGGCCGTAAATCCAGAGGTCCAGGAAAAATTGTACCAGGAGATCAAGGGATTCGAAGAGTATGGCAAAACTTTGTCTTACGAGAACGTAGCACAATTGAAGTATATGGATTGTGTGATCAATGGTAACATTTTATTTAATTGAAGAGATTTTGTACAAAAGTCGTCTAATTGGATACCTTTGTCCTATTCGTATTTCTGCCGTGAAACAGTTGTTTGCATGGCTATATTTCTATTTGAAGAGTATGATATGCCAGTGAAATTATAGGGTACAGAGGCATAATACCTTAGTCCTCAGGAATGACAATGCATGAAGGCTATTATGAGCGACACAACTCTGTTATGTCCATGCTACTGTTCATGTCTATAGGCGACGGTTACCATTTTCCATCAGATGGGCCGTCAGCTTGTTTGCCATTCAATAGGATTGCAGTGATTGATTTCAAGCTTTTGAAGTTTCTGGAATATGACCGACGGCTCCATACCCACTTGGTGCATATTTTCTGTAACGCCCCATTCTATATTGTAATTTGGTAATGAACAAGAAAAAATACTCGTATGTAAAATGGCGCGAAATCGAAAAAAGTTTTTAAAATAATAAAGGTGTTTCAAATTCAAAATTATTAAAAAGTTAAAAATAAGAAAAGTTTTTATGTAAAAGTATTTATGGCCAGACTAGATATATACTAGTTGTTTATTTATAATCCTTATCAATAATAATACTTGTTTTCATATTTGTCTGTTTTATTTTAATTAATATGCTTTTTAAAATTTTATCGACAAATTCACAGAAACAATGAGAAAGTGGCCACCGTCGATTTTTATGGACAGGGTATGTAGTAAACCTTACAAACTGCCGCCACCTAGAGAAGGTGGAAAGCCTTATCAAGTAAGTATCTAGAGCCTATGTCGATAGAACTTAATGATAAAGATTGTGTCGTAAAAAAAGTCCTTAATTGTAACAATACCAGTATAAATAATAATATAATAAATATAATGCCAATATAAGACCAATCTGTAAGTATATAGTTTTACATAAAAAAAAGAATTTTCCAAATCAGTTTAGAACTGACATAGTTATGAGGTAACAAACATAAACATACGATCTAATTGAAAACCTTCTTTTTCTTAAATTCGGTTAAAACGGTACATAAGTTTTCCTTAAATAATCATAGAGACATTATGTAAAAGAAATTAGTAATAAATAGAAACATACAATCAATTGATCTATAATTAAATATCAACAGAACGGTTTTTAAACCGAGTTAAAAATTGGGAGGTTCTTACGGTGGTATTTTTTTATATTTGTTACCTTATAACTCTGTCAGTTATATACTATCTGGAAGGATATATTTATAGATTGCTTCCATAGAAATTTTATCAAAATCGGTTCAATAGTTAAGTTTGTAAATTAAAATAACAAATAATTGAAGTCGTCCTACCTTTATCCCAATTATATAAATTTTGAAGTCGGCGTAATATGTTTTTGTCCATATTAGCCAAGATTTAGTCCTACGACCAGCTGCCTGCCTGACGTCAACGGATAGACTATGGCGTGAATTTACAGGGTACAGAGGAATAACATCTGAGTCCTCAGGAATGGCAACGCATGGGGGGTATCATGGGCGAAACGGATACTCTGTTATGTTATGTCCATGGTAAAATAATGTGCTCTTGTCTATAGGCGACGGTTACCATTTTCCATCAGGCGGGCCGTCAGCTTGTTTACTATTGTAAGTTGTAGAAAAAAAATTATTTCCTAACTTGGAACATTTTATATACTACTACTTTATATATTCATGCAGGCAAAGACATGGAATACATTTAATATTCAGAGCATCCTAGCATCGATATCCTCTCGAGCGCCTTCTAATTATGCTTTAGCACGTCGACAGGAATTTCCATGTTCCGTTCAGAAGAATAAAGCTAGCAAAACATGCTCTTTTTTTTATACCACTGAGGTGGCAAACGCATGCGGTCCACCTGATGGTACCGAGCGAGCGGTATGAGCGAGATGAGCGGTTACCGTAGCCTATGAACGCCTGCAATAGCAGAGGCATTACGCGCGCGTTGCCAACCCTGAAGAAACCTCTTTACCCCCTTTTGAAGAACCCCATGCTGTAGTCTCTTGGGAAAACCTCGGCAGGGAGCTCATTCCATAACCTGAGTGTTTGTGGGAGAATGCTCATCTTCCACTAGCACTGACTCTGCTCAACGGTGTCATAAGCCCGTATCCGGACTTTGATATATTTCCTTGTAAACTTGTCGAGTTTAGAAGACAATAAATTATTTAGAAAGCGTTTAGTAAATAAAATTTTATTATGTTTCATATTTTGTACATGCAAACGAAGTGTAGGACGACCCCCACTAGATGGAGTGACGACCTCAAATGCGTCGCAGGGAGTCAGTGGATGCAGGTGGTTCAGGACCGTTCTTTATGACAGTCTATGGGGGAGGCTTATGTCCAGCAGTGGACTGATAGTGGCTGAAATGACGATGATGTTTCATATATTGTGGTTGCTATGAGAGCGAATTGGGAAACTGCCAAACTCCTTTAGTTAGTAAATATAATAAATAAATAAATATCATGATATAGTTAATAAAATCTATAGTTTTGTTTACGCTACGCATATAGAAAATTTATTATTTAATCAAATACATTATTTTCCTTTCCTCTCAGTTGAACCCCGGCGATATAGTATACAATATGGTGAATGTCATACATATGGACGAAAAATTCCATCCTAAACCCGAAGTGTTTGACCCTGACCGCTTCTCTGATGAGAACAAGCACAAAATACAACCCTTCACCTTCATGCCCTTTGGTATGGGTCCGAGAAATTGCATCGGTAAGTTTTTTTTTTTTAATGGATGCCCATAAATAGAAGAAAATAAGCTTGTCTTGAAAAGATTGCTCTCAGCAATAAGACCGCCTTACTGTACTTATACAATTGTATCGTTATGTTTGTAAATTGTCTTGTTTATTTCCTATATTGTATAATGCAAATAAAGTATACTCATTCATTCATTCAATAGATTTTATTCTGCAAAGAGAAATCATTATCAGATCAGCCGTTAACTGTCCACTGCTGAACATCGATCTCCCCTTAGGGAGTTTTCCTAGTACTTTCCTAGTACCACGCTTGGCAGGTAAGTTTGCAATCGCATTTTTAACTTTGGTGACGTTTTAAGAGGGACGCTGATGCCCATCCCTCGACCAATAAGCACCTTTAGTTGTCTTTAGAAGGGGTGGTCCATTTTTTGGCAGGACCACACGGTTAAATAGCGAAAACTCGAAAAAAATAACAATCTTAAAATAAGAATTACTAAAGTCAATCAATTCAGGAAACGCATGGGAGATTAATATTGTTCACACCTATAGACAACACTAAGCACTTTTTATTCCACCTGTCATCTTGTTTTCTGCATAAAAATAGTAAAAAAATTAAGAAGAATTAAAAATGTCCTCCTGTTACAAGACGCTAAAAATGGAGAGTAGGTAAACCCAACTTGCGCTGTGGGTATACTTAACTAGCAGAGTACTAGGGAGGCATGACAAATAAGGATGAAAGTGAGACTGTAAACATATCTTTTTTTTTTATTTTCGTTACATAATATCGTTACAAAAAAAGTCATTTCTTTTATGATATTTTTTTTTATATAACTTAGAATAGCAAACAACTTGACGGTCTACCTGATGGAAAGTGATAACCGTCGCCTATAGACATGAGCAGCACCATGGACATAACAGAGTATACTGTTTCGCCCATGATACCCCCCATGCGTTGCCATTCCTGAGGACTCAGGTGTTATTCCTCTGTACCCTGTAAATTCACGCTATATCCCACCCTTCAAACCGATTATGATTAATTACGTGATTATAATTTTTTTTTAATTCCGCTACCATCAGTATATGTGTGACTGCCAACATTCGAAGATGACCACAAAAATTATTGCAATACATGCCTGGACCAAATGATGGTCAGAGATTAATGACTAATATGGAAGGTCATAGAACTTCTGGTAGTAATAGTGGTGGTCAAATATCGAGTGTTGGCAGTCGCACACATACTAATGGTAGCGGAATTAAACAAAATAATTCTAATCAGATAACTAATGATATAGATTTCCACAAGATAACATCTAATTCAATAAATATGCTTTTATGATACTAGAAATAGCAAAAATACTGGCTGAACAACACCACGAACATCTCAAAACACTTTTTTATTCCTTGGAGCATCAGTAATCAGTTTGATTGAGCGATGCGAAAAATTTCTAGTTTTCAACTAACTTCATAAAGATAGAGGTTCTCGATTCGGTTGTATTTTTTTATGTTTGTTACCTCACAATTCTGCCAGTTATAAATAGATTTGAAATATTATTTTAAAAAAATTATTGTTCCATCTGAAAGGACATCACTCTGTTCGAGTCATAGATTACTATTTGCTCTTCTATTGCAGTTGTTTTATTTAATTGTTTTATACAGTAATATTTCATGTATTTATTGTATGTATACATTTATTTATTTAATATATTATGTGTATGTTTATATTATATGAATGTATCAAATATTGCTTTATTTTTTTCTCTATACAAAAATGCACTGCCTACCTATTTCTCAGTTTGCCCAATACTTGACTGGTAGAGAACACCGTCCAGTATTAAGTCCGCCAAATGTACATAGAATTTTGCTGTGCATTAAAGTTTAAATAAATAAAATATCATAGAACTTATATATTAGATCATACACGCGCCATGCCGTCACCGCCACCGCTGTGTAGGTCCCGGCATAGAATAGGCCACGCCTTCCTTCCCCGTGAGTGTCGTAAGAGGCAACTAAGCGAACTTATGGTGGAGGAATAGACAGTAACACTCCTCTTAAAATATCACCAAAATCCAAACTGGAGTTGCCAACCCGTCTGCCAATACCCCCTTATGGGGGGGGGCTATGTTCAACAGTGGACAGTTAAAGGCTGATGCAAAAACATGCCCCATAGAAATTTTATCGAAATCAGTTAAATAATTTAGTTTTTAAATCAAAATAACTGGTTTTACCACAAATTAAGTCGGTTTTTTTTTTTTGTGAAACATAATATTTTGATTATAGCTTCCAGATTTGCCCTTCTCGAAATGAAGGTATTCCTATACGACCTCATTCTCCACTACAAAATTGTGAAAAGTCAGAAGACATCGTACCCAGTTCGCTTAAAGAAGGACGACTTTAGAATCAAGGCCTGTGGTGGCACTTACGTCAAATTTGAATCAAGAACTTGAAGCCGGACTGCAAAAGATTTTTTTTTACTTTACAGTTTTCCGATACGCTCATCGAAGAAAACATCAAAACAATAACATATACTGTATAACTATATTACAATTATATAACAAATAATCCTTTAAGTATTATTTTCCCGTGTTCTTTCTTCATCTTCCACTTTCATTCTCTCCTGTTGTATGTGTGCAATTAAGTATGTGTATGTATGTGTGCAATTTAGCAACCGCATCACAACAGACATGAATTTTAATAGATGGCTCTCTGTTGTGGCGACCTTAACAGAAGACCTATCTAAAAGTTTTGATTTCTACATTTTTTTTTTCTTTATTTATTTATTTATATTTTACTGTACACACTGGTAGTACATACATAAAAATATGACAGAGGTAAGTAAATGTACAAAGGCGAGCTCAACTCTAAAAGAGTTTTCTCCCAGCGAACCCAAAGTGGAAAGGGAAATCAATGTCTTTATGGTATTAGTTTAAAGGTATATAACAATAAATAAATGGATATATAATCTTTATTTACCACTCATAATGAATACATTACAGTGCATAACTATTTAGGTTTCTAAAAACCTTTTGTTTTCTTTAAATATTGGTTCTTATTAGAGTCTGGAGTTGGAACTAGATCGAAACCTGTACTACAGAGTTCTAGGCTCTCCGGGATCTTACATTATATTACTGTATATCTATATTATTATATCAATACAGTTATTTGAAGGTAAGTTTTTTTACGATATTTTAGTTTTAGAGATAAATGTATGAAGAGTGTGTTATTAGATGTAGTGTAGTGTATTCCTGTGTACTTTACCGTGTGTATCATTCAGTAAAATAAGATGAATAACTTCATCAACATAATGATGTATTTAAACGTCGATTACAGTCAATACGAAGAAATATTTTTTTATTATTTTGAGATTTTTTTTATTATGAATAGGAAAAGATAACGAGTAGGGCTAATCAAAAGTAAAAAAGTTAAATTAAGTAGCATCAACTAATCTCTACGATAATACAACTGCGTGTTTGAAACATAACAATTTAGTTATCAACAATACAGAATCCATTGCGTTCAACGCCATTCCCCTGGCCTGAGCGATAAAGAGCAGTACTGTTACGCAATACATAAAGAAATAAAAATGTTTGTTGAACTAGCAATATTCATAATTTCATCATTATTCTTTTATTACTTGTACGTGCATAAGAAAATACATAATTTCTTTGTGAAGAGAGGCGTCAAATTCCTACCCGGTATACCTATGTTTGGAAACGTATGTAACAGTTTATTTACAACGAAACACTTCATAGAGGATCTCGAAATTGTATACAGAGCTTTTCCTGATGAACGGTGAGTTACTTTTAATTTAATTATCGTTCTTTTTTAGGTTTTTCGTTATCCCCTCTATTTTTTCTTTTAATAATTCTAGCTACCATATCTATTTTAATAAACAATATTTTATCAAAATTACAGTTTACTTTTACATAAAAGGTTGTCTGGAAGAGATTGCTTAGCGATTAGGCCGCCTTTTGTATCATTTCTTATTACAGTTAAATGTGTCTACTATTTTATAAATGGTGCAATAAAGTGTACATAAATAAATAAATACTTAGCTTAAAATTACCAAATTGTTAAATTAAAAATTGTTATTATTTTTTATAGTTTATTATTCTAAAAATGGTAAACAAACTGATGATTCCTCTGATAGAAATTTATTGATGAATTTTAAATGCCGCTTATAGATCTAAACAATATCATAAATACTACAGAATATTCTGGAAAGCTCCTAATATCCCTGCAGCTCTGCCTCTTTCTAATAACTAACTTTGTTATGGTTCTACATCCTGTAATTTCACTTCTATATTTTAGTCTTCATAGCCGTGTAGGTCTAGGCATAGAATAGGCCACCCCTTCGTTTCCCGTAAGTGTCGTAAGAGGCGACTAAGAGAATTTAATGGGCGAGAAATAAGCAACAGTGTCCCTCGTAAAACATCAAAGCCTAACTGCGGCTGCCAACCCGCCTACCTAACGTGATACTAGCAAAATTCCCGAAGGAGAAACCCTTGTTGAGCAATGAACAGTTAACGACTAATATGAAAATGATGATTTTACTCTTTAAACCAAAACATAACCAATCAAGAATAACTGCTTGATTGTACATACATGTACATATGTACACAAGGCGCAATATATATACACACGAAAGGAAAAAAAAACGTAAAAAAGATTCTAAATACAACAGTAGATAACGACTTAATGGGCATAGATATATCTCATTATATTTTTTAACCTAATAGATAATATTTGTTTCTATACCCGTTAACCAAAAGGTGACTAGATATGAATAGGTGACGATCTTTAACCCAGAAAAAATAATAAATAACATAAAAACCTTTGAGCACATATTTACTGATAATTCTATTTATGAATAGTGCCAACGAGAGATATATCGCATAAAAACACTGAAGTTGATACCTATGTAATAAATACTACAATATTTGTACATTACAATATGAAGCAGTGTAAAAAAGACTTTAACTAAGTAATTATTAATAATAACTACTTTGTAACATTCGTTAACTTTCGTGTTAATACCTTTCTTAAACAATGTACTTAGATACCATTAAATGACATGCAAAATATGTAGGCTTCTACATTTGATGGGAAAAAAAATATTGTTATTTCTCTTTCATTACTTACGTCTATTCTATTTCTTATTTGTATTCTGAACTCGAAAGATACTAAAATAATAAATACAAGTGGGCAAGTTATACACTAACATTTAGTACTAAACTAAGCGAATCTGTACTTTAAATACAAAATAACTAACGTATTGATTTTTTCTAACTAGTAAGCAGTAATTTAAACCACTCTATGCAAAAGGACCAATCGTCATATGATATTATCTACTAACTAGCGGCACGTCCCGGCTTCGTACAGATAGTCATTTTTACAACATTTTAAAAAGTGGTTATTGTGACATAACGATATTAGTGGGACATATAGTATCGCGAGGTTTTTTTGTAGTTATTGATATTTTCTTCAATATTGTAGAACATACTTTTGTTCTATCACCAATAGTTTCCGCAGCGCACGCGACCAAAGATATTTTGTAGCATTTTTAACACTGTAACATGTTACTAAAGTTTTAGTAAGGATGCCTAATCTTTTCTGGCAATAAATATAGCCTATATTACTCAGGGTGAATGTAGCTTTTTAATGGTGAAAAAATTTTTGAAATCGGCAAAGTAGTTTTTGAGTTTATTCATTACAAACATACATACACACAAAAATACAAATCTTTCCTCTCTATAATATTAGTGTAGTATCTAATATAATTTAAAAGAAATTAATGTATCTTATGAATCCTGTCTATAATATATAAAAACATTGCAGATATGTGGGCTTCATCGAAGGAACTACACCAATTATTTTGATCCGCGATCCCGAGTTGGCAAAAGCAATCACCGTTAAAGACTTCGATCACTTCGTTAACCATAAGGACTTCTTCAGTAAAGACACTGATCCGTTGTTTGGCGGTAGTCTTTTCATGATGAAAGGTACATACAAATTTTGTGGTCCACCAATTTTAATAACACTATTTCGTATTTACTTTCAATTGTCCATACTTTGCTTTTCGGTTCGACAGAACTTTGAGAGACCTGAAATTACGATGCACTCCGAATTTATTATTTAACAAAGCAAAGAAGATTTTTTTTCTTCTTATTAAAACACACAGGATGATATCATTCCAATTCTTTCTTACCTACTTAGTCTGACTCCCGAGTTTCATTTATCAATTCACTGATCATTTAAAAACTAATCACTGATTATAGTACAGTGAATCTAGCCAACCTGGCCAGTGTGACCAAATCTTCAAAAACAAAATTGGCCACATTAGAACGCATGAAAGGAAACAGTAAGTAAAAGTCAATCTTGATTTACGTCATGAAGGATTGTATGCATACATACAGTTACTTACTGCTAGATTGATTAGAGTATTTAAAGAAGTTTGTGAAACTCAGTAACAAAAATTTATTCTTTACAGATGACAAATGGCGAGATATGCGATTCACGTTGAGCCCAGCGTTCACTGGCTCCAAGATGAGGCTTATGATGAACTTTATGAGCGAAGTCAGCCATAACATTATGGACTATTTAAAAGGTAATGTGAAACAGAAAAATTTACTATATTGTATTGTTTATAAATGAACTACAAATAATTAATGAGATTATACAAAATTCTCTACACAATTTATTAATGAAAACCTTTGGAAAAAGGTATTTATTATTTTTCTGTTCTGATTATTATTTATCACTGATATATCGTCTATTGTCAATGCAAAAGTTATTTCCATTGCATTAACGATTTATTTGTTAACAAAACACTATATTTTATCAAGCAGTACTCGGTATATTCGTTTACTTTTAAGATTCATAAATATATATTTTAGAACATATTATATACAGGTTGTATATATATATATATATATATATATATATATATATATATATATATATATATATATATATATATATATATATATATATCTTAGTATTGCTAAGTGACTGCTGCCATCTATAAATTTTATAACTCTCGGATCAATTGGAAGATTGCAACGCCCGTCATTTTATACCTACACGAACGGAATAAATTGGAATGGTTATGACCTTGTATGGCAATAATACACGCTGTAATAATTTTTGGGGGACATGTTTCATGAAACTACTTTATTGCTGCTGTATATTTTGATAAAATAGTAATATTATAGTAAGAGATAATAAATTATATTGTATGGAAAAAATAGTTAGGGTTTGATAAAAAAAAATATATAAGAACATCACGAAAACAATTCGTAAAGATTAAAAATCATCAAAATCGATACAAAAATGAATGAATTTTTTCTTTTTCTCTTCACAGTAGGTAGTAAAAAGTAACTTGAGGTACAATTAAATATATGAGACCAGTTTTGTTTTAAACTGTTGCCTGCAGTAGCAATGCAATAAATGATTAAGATAACTTCAGTTTCGTTATTCATAGGTTTATAATGAAACCAATTACAAATGAAAAACTTCAGCAATAAAATTGAGTTTTATATGATATTTTTTTATAGAAAATAATTCTGATGAAATTCACGTTGATGACCTGGTGCGCCGATATACCCTTGACGTCATTGCATCAGCAGGCTTCGGGCTTCAAGTCAACTCTGTTAAAGACAAAAAAAATGATTTCTTCAAAATGGGCATTAATTTATTCTATTTTAACATCAAGCAGAAAATTATCATATTCATATCTACACAGTTTCCTAAAATTGGAAAGGTAAACTAAAGTTTCAATTATTTTTCTTTCAATTGTCTTCTTCTTATCTTGCCCCATAGTTATTCTATTAATTATATTGGAACCTATGCCATTATTATTATAAATGTTACATAGGACTATACTATAAACTCGAAATAAAATTACCCTAGATTTTTTTTTTATTTTGTTATTATTATTTATATAACGATATCAGTTGCACAATAGTGGACATTTTGATTTGCCTAAACAAAATCCCGGGTTTAACTTTCCATCTGACTAATTTAGAAAACAAACTTTTGAAATATTGCAGGTCAAAATTTTTTGAGTTGTGCTTCAATTAGCGCAAATTTAAATTCAATTTCCTATTATAAAGTTCAGACAATTGGTATGATGATTTAGTATAACATAATCACAACATTTTTAATTAATGCTACGTGCATATTTTAATATTTCTTGTGCGTAGTTTTTGCTACATATTAGTAGACCTTTATTTGAATCGATTATATGAATATTCGTATCTTAGTTTATATTATAAGAATAGAATAGGCAAAATACTGGGCCACCTTATACGACATGACGATTTTTTTAAGAGCATACTAGAAGGAAAGATAGAGGGCAAAAGAGGAAGAGGAAGACCGAGGATTAACTACATGGGACAGATAAAGGAAACACTAGGCGTCATGTCGTATAGGGAGATAAAGGATATGGCCTAGGATAGAGCTGGCTGGAGGAAGATGCATGAATTAGTTGCACCGACAAGAGGAAACTCTTAAATGAAAAGAAGAGTTAATATTATATATAAATCTTTTGCTTCATCCACTTTTATAAAATAAAATTCTCTATCTTTGTAGTTACTCTCATAGCATACTATAGGAAAACCTTATGTCGATAATTTATCATTACTAGCTAGAATGACAAATGTGCATGGTGTTAGTCGATCATGCATGGACTTTTAATAACCATGTCATTTTAGACATAATACATTTAAATAAATACGCATAATATTAACAGAGATTTAAAAGAGTAACTGTTGAGTTTCTCGCGGGCTCTTTCCAAACTCTGCAGTAGATTTAGAAAGGAATGACGATTTTAAAATGCTTGTGAACAGATCTATTGAAATAAAGATAATTTGAATTTGACTTAAGCATCTTCATCTTATCATTCTCACTATCATTATCAATAAGATCTTAAATATAAAAATACATTTACAGAAATTAGGATTGACACTTTTCTCAAAAGAGGTTATGGACTTCTTTAAAACAACTGTTAAAAATACCATAAGTTATAGAGAAAATAATAACGTGGTGCGCCCAGATATGATCCAGCTATTGATGGAAGCAACAAAAGGTTTGTCAATAAGCATTAATATAAATCCTATAATATATTCTATTATATAATAAATTTGAAAATTTGTAGTGATTAACGGATATTTATTAGTCTTTCATGTAAAAACTATTTATAAAAATTGGATTAAATTGTATATGTGGGTAGGTTATATCAGAACTTAGCACTTAAAATATTTTGAACACTAATTTACATTTATATAAGACATAGCTACTCTAGAATAATAAATTTGTATGTTCTTAATATGATCATTAATATCAAAGCCTTGCAGCGAAACTAAGTTCAGCAGCTTTTGCCGTGCGTAAAGTTAGACAGTACACTGATACTGATACTGCTAGATTAGTCTATTTTAGTTATTTTCATAGTTTACTCTCTTATGGAATATTACTATGGGGAAAAGCGGCAGATATTAAGAATATATTCATATTACAAAAACGTGCCGTTCGAGCGATCTACTGTATGAAGAGTCGTGACTCATTAAGAGAGAAATTCAAAGAGGCAAATATTCTCACCGTTGCTTCTCAATTTATATATTCAAATATTCTATATGTTCATAAAAATCTTGACTTATTTCCAAAAAACAGCAATATTCATAATATTAATACTAGATTTAAAGACAAACTTGCTGTCCCCAAGTATCGTTTAGAAAAAGTTAATAGGTCTTTTATGGGAATAGGTATAAAAATTTACAATAAGATACCAAAGGATATGTTGGAATTACCCTTAAATAAATTCAAAACATCTGTTAAATCATATTTACTGAGCAAAGCCTATTACTCACTAAACGATTACTTGAATGACGAGTGTGCATGGCAATAGTTGTTCATGCACTGAATTTTCATTTAATGTTAGACATAGACACCTATATAAATATACATTGTAAATAAACTGGCTTTAAAAAAAAAAAGTAATTCAATTGAGTTTCTTGCCAGTTCTTCTCAATTGGATCTATATACCGAACTGGACGGTAGGGAAAATATAAAATTATAATGTAAAAATTTGACGTTCATAAGCGGCTAAAATGTCCTACATGAATAAATGATTTTTGAATTTGAATTTGAATTTGAATTTGAAACTTGTTGCAACTAATTTTGAAATTATTCAAGGTACATTAAAAGCTGGTAATACTGAGAAAGATGAAGTTACCACGACAGAAGACTCGAAATCAAAAACTGTTGCAAGAGGTAAATATTGTAATTAACGTAAGATATAAATAAATTAACTTATGTAAACTGATACTTTTGTTGAGTGTTGAAATTATGATGGCATTTATTTCACATGCTTATATTTTGCTAGGTGTCATAAAAATATTTGAGATTTTATTAAATATTGCTAAAGTCTTACAAGCACAGTTAATGCTCGAAAAGAAATTCTGAAGAAGAAATAGTGTTTTTGAGCATAAAATTATTAAAAGTTGTAAAAATATCTTAAAGAAACGTGATGTATATAAAATTATAATTTCAGAATGGACGGAAGATGAAATAATTGGTCAAGTATTCATATTCTTTGCTGCTGGTTTTGAAAGTTCCGCTGGAGCTATAACTATGGCCATCCACGAATTGGCCGTAAATCCAGAGGTCCAGGAGAAATTGTACCAGGAAATCAAACAATTCGAGAAAATCAACAAGGTTTTGTCTTACGAGAATGTGAGCCAGTTGAAATATATGGATTGTGTCATCAACGGTAAGTTTTGAGTTTAGATCATTGACTGAGATCGAAAATATTCAGAAATATCGTTAAAATATGAAATTTATATTACAATAAGTATAATAAGGAGTGATTGAAAAATCATCGAAGCGGGCTTGTCGTTATCTATTAGTTACTTAATAATTATTAAAATATATATTTAAAAAAATATAACAACAGAATAAGAATTCTACTCCTTTTAACTCCCAAAATAATTTAAAAGGCGAGTAAATAACAACACACAGTACTCCATTACAAGAGAAGGTCAACTCAAAACAGACTCCTACGCCATACCACCTAGAGGGAAGAAAGTTTATCCGAGGAAGTAGACTTCGCAACATATTTTGCGATGTTCGAAGTTATTTAAGTGACGATTTCTATGTACATTTTGTTGTCCCGTCAACTTGTTTGTCATATATAAAAAAAAACAAGTATCTACACTATATGGCGTTCTTTAAAGCAACAACATCAAATATATTATGATGAGTTTTTCAATTAATTGATTGCAGAAAAAGCTTATGGAATCAATCAACCAATTAACTGACTCCATTAGCCGATTATTTGTCGATTTCTGACTTAATATTATAGTCAATTGTTGCTACAATGATTTCGGCATATTGTGCTGCATCAGTTATTTTATGCATTTTCTGTCTGAGCGATGACCTATGAAACCGAACCATGGTCCTACACAATTGTCTGTATGGAAAAGCTTCAAATTATTTAGTGAACTATGGAAAAAGGCTACGCTTGGAGTTTCTTTGCATGACAGCATCCGAAATGAGGATATCCGCAGAAGAACCAAAATGACAGACGGAGCCCGAAGGATATGCAAACTAAAATGACTGGCCATATAGCTCGAAGAACCGACAACTGATGGGGAAAAAGATTCTTAGATGGGGATCCCGTACGTGCAAATGCAATGTAGGATACCCACTACTGTGGATGTAATAGATTGACGACCTCAAATGAATTGCAAAAAGTTGGATGTAGGTAGCTAAGGACCGTTCGTTATGGTAGTTTATGGGAAGGCCTTTGTTCAGCAGTGGAAAGATAATGGCCGATATGATGATCGTCTTACGTCTTGATGACGGTCTTACAGTTGGTTACAGTCTAGGAACTTATAGCGAATAACTAGACAGATGCTTTTATGTAAAGAGTTAGTTTTTGAACAATGCAACACTTGCTATCCATGCCATGCCAAAATAATATTGCATCAAAATAGGACTAAACCTTATGCATTGCAAAAATAAATTTTCGGAATTTTTTGGAAATAACTTTTCAAAGGTTCGGAATTAGCAAACATCGTGTAACTACACATAATGAGTTAGTAATTTAATTAGTGCAATAATAAAATAAAGATCCTGTATATATTTGATTGAGTTTCGTCTGATTAAGTGCTAATTGACCAATCATTACCAGTTTAGCACAAGACTGGCTTCCCTCGAAGGTGCTGACCCCATCCATACCTAGAATAATTATAATATTTATAGGTTACCTGTAACCAACTCGCCGTTTGTATTGGTATAATACAAATAAATAAATATGTCATACATGAAGAATGGAAAGATTTTCTTTAAGAAAATTTATTAATTATTAATTAAATATTAGGTATAAATGTGGATGGCCATAAGAATAAAATAAAGAAAATATGGCCAGAATGGGAGTGAAGAATAGAGGTGAAAGAGCATAGCCCTAAATATAATTATATATATATATATATATATATATATATATATATATATATATATATATATATATATATATATATATATATATATATATATATATATATATATATATATATATATATATATATATATATATATATATATATATATATATATATATATATATATATATATATACTTATATCTAAATATAAGAGTAGGAAGACGATAATTTATGAATTATGCAATTGTCATTACAGAAACATTGAGGAAATGGACGGCAGCAATTTTTATGGATCGAGTATGCACTAAACCCTACGAGCTACCCCCACCGAGAAAAGGAGGAAAACCTTACCTGGTATGTGTCAAAATATGAGGTAATCAACATAAAAAAATTACAACCGAATTAAAAACCTCATTGTCTCTGAAGTCGATTACAAACTGCCTAGACGAGATCGATTTGGCGATAAGACTGTTTAATGCTTTCTTTGTGCATTTTTTTGTTTATTTCTATAACAGAACTACACAAAGCATCTATCTAAATTTATTGATGTTATCTGTACAATTTTCAGTTGAACCCCGGCGATATAGTATACAATATGGTGAATGTCATACATATGGACGAAAAATACCATCCTAAACCCGAAGTGTTTGACCCTGACCGCTTCTCTGATGAGAACAAGCACAAAATACAACCCTTCACCTTCGTACCTTTTGGCATGGGACCAAGAAATTGTATCGGTAAGTTATTACAACTGGTTTGTTTTCAAAGGTCTTTGGAGCTACTGATTTCATCATCATCATCATATCAGCTGTTAACTGTCCACTAATGTCCACTAATGTTAGCTGTTCATTAATAACGTAGGTCTCTATGTATATTATGTTTTTAGGAGTAGCTAACCAAAGATATTAGAAGCGGTTCAGAAATATCTGGAGTCGGGTTAAATACCGTTAATATAATTTTGTATTAAGCACTAGAATTATAATATTGATTTAATTTTTACTATCATAACGTTATAATTATTTTAATGAATAATAAATAAAGAATCAATAACAAGTTAGTTCTCAATTTTTTTTTCTATCTCAAATTATTACATAGAATTTACCAGAGGGAGACTTTGTACAAAAGTCATTTGCTGAGCACCTCTGTCTCATTCGTGTTTCTACCGTGAAGCAGTTGTGTTTGCATGGCTATGTTTCGGTTTGAAGGGTGGGACATGACAGTGAATTTACAATGTACAGAGAAATAACAGCTGAGTCTTCATCAATGGCAACGCATCGGAAGTATCATGGGCGAAACAGTATACTCTGTTATATTTATGGCACTGCTCATGTCTATAGGCGACGGTTACCACTTTACATCAGGTGGGCTGTCAGCTTGTTTGCCATTCTAAGTACTATAAAATAAAATAAAAATCTAATGTTGTGTTCACTAAAATCGTATTTCTCTTTTACAGCATCCAGATTTGCTATTCTGGAAATGAAGGTATTCCTATACGACCTAGTGTTACACTACAAGGTCGTCAAAAGTAAGAGGACATCGGACCCAATTCGTTTGCACAGCAACGACTTCAACATAAGAGCTTTAGGTGGCACTTATGTTAAATTTGAACCGAGAGATTGAAGATGTTAACGAACTGTAGTTGGCATGCAGATTTACGTGTACTTGTGTAATCGTGTTAAACGAATATCAATCTTGTTAGGTAGTTTATTAGTTTTATATTTACTTCCACCGCCATTAGTATTGCGCATACTAATGCTAACCACCTATATTTTATTAAATAAATATTACATTAATGTAACTTTAAAATTTTTCTATAAAAATGTATATGCACAATTATTTGTATTTTTTAATAAAACCCAAACAGTGATTTAAAATAGACTCTCATACATTTACAGGGACATATATATACATTTACAGGGACATATATATACTTGTATATATATGTCCCTGTAAATGTATGAACACTCCTGCGGAAATGTATGGACACTCCTGCCTGCCAGTAGTGTAATTTTGTATGGAAGACCGGACATGTCGACCTGCATTTTATTTTTGGAATTTGATGCAAATATTCGCAAATCGTGAGTTTATTTGGAGTGAGTCTAGAAATAATTTATTATTGTATTTATTTTCTATACACGTATACATAAACGATTGAAAATATACATCGACGATTCACCTTTTAAGAGTCCTGAATTAGCGACCTTAATGTGAGATGAAGTAGGTGATCAAAGCTAAAATTCCAATGAAGTTCCTTTATTTAACAAATATAATAAATATTACATCTTAATGTTTAGAAATGATACTGCTTGAAAACAACAGTTACCACCAGTGAAAGCTAAACTTGTAAACGTTACCCTAGTTAAGAAAAAGAAAACATTCTAAAACCTTATGTCCTTAAACTGGAGTTATATATCAAATTAAATATCTGTTAATAACTCTATGAATAAATCTACAAATATAGAGCGCTGCAATTCTATGTAACCCAAGTGACATTTTATTGAATTGCACATTAAAAACTTCACAAGCTTCACACAAATAAACATACGCGTTTTACAAAAAAACATACGAATTTGTTTTTCAGGCGTTTAGTAAAATATTACCTCAATGCATTTATACTTGTAAACTGTAATGGAGTGTGAATTTAAAAAAATCATAAACTATGATTCTATTACGCCTTCAGATTGCAACAAGTTTTACCCTACTAAGCTTGCACCGGTTCAAGTAAACTATAAACAAACTAAAGTAATCAAAGAGACATCATAAACTCCTTTTCTGCCACGTTAATCTCAAATATGCTCGGCAAGATTTGATGTAAGTTGAGTTTTGTGTGATCTATTATACATATTTATTATTGTCAGCCGTTAACAGTCCATTGCTGGACATAGGGCTCCATCATAAAGAGGGTGTTTTTTTTTATACAACTTAGAATGGCAAACAAGCTGACGGCCCACCTGATGGAAAGTGGTAACCGTCGCCTATAGACATGAGCAGTACCATAGACATAACAGAATACTGTCTCGCCCATGATACCCCCCATGCGTTGCCATTCCTGAGGACTTAGGGGTTATTCCTATGTACCCAGCAAATTCACGCCATATCCCACCCTTCAAACCGAAACACAGCCATGCAAGTACAACTGCTTTACGGTTGAAATATATTGTTGCCAATAGTTGCCACACTTGCCAGGTAAGTTGGCAACCGCAGTTAGGCTTTAATGATGTTTTAAGAAGGACGCTGCTGCCCATTCCTCGACTATTGAATTCCCTTAGTCGCCTCTTAGGACATCCGCGGAACGGGAAGAAATAGTCCATTCTTTGCTTGGACCACACAGCAGTAGCGAAGTAACCAGTGCCAGAAAATTATATATAACTAAAAAATTCATTATAAACACCAGTAACAAGTAATTAGGAAAAAGTTAGAACGCCACGTGAATAAACAAAATTTTGTGGCGTATGTTTACGCAAATTGCATACATTTGGCAGCCTTTAGTCGTGTTTTTAGAACAAGCACATTTTAACTTGACTCCACGAAGCAGTTTGGGGTTTCCGGAAATCCAACGCCGGGTATAATTCCTGTTTTAAATATTTGCACAGTGAAGGTATTTTGAAACATAATATTGCTGAACAAAGCAAATGAATGAGTCCTAAATAATCAACCTAGTTGTTATTATATTGTAAACCAGTTAGTGCTTTGTCATAATCAGTATATATATATTTCATTAAATATATTTGTTTATTTGTCGCAGTCTATGGGAGACGGCTATGTTCAGCAGTGGACAGATAGTGGCTGAGATGATGATGATGATGATGAAATTGATATATACGATATAATCACAGTAAAAAAAAACTAGTTAATTGATTAGAATTACTTTTTTTAATTCCGCTAACATTAGTACGCGTGCTATAGCCAACACTTACTCAGTGTCTAGCGGAATTAAACAAAACATTTGTAATCACTGACTATTTGATTAGAATTATTTTGTTTAATTCCGCTCACAGGCGAAATACGTCTCGCAAAATGTACTTGAACCAAATGGTAAGCGGAGATTGATGGCTATTATGGAAGGTTTTGGAATTTCTGGTTGTCAATCTTCCAGTATTGGTAGTCATACATAAGTATATTAATGGTAGCAGAATTAAACAAAATAATTCTAATTAAATAATCATTCACATGGACTCTCGAAACATAACACGTAGTTCAGTAAAATATTTACGGTAATATCTTTCATCATTATTATGCATAGAAAATATCCTATTGACTGAATTAAATGAAATATGAACAGTTATTTTCAAAGAACCAGGGTAATGAAATTCTACTACTTCACAAGAGTTTGTGATGTTTATTAATTAAATACATTTAAAGAATGATACCACAGATGATAATAATATACAGAAATTGCTTTTTTTTTTATTCAACACAGAGCGGCTGTTTCGGTATCATGACACCCTCCATGCCTTGCCATTCCTGAGAACTAAGGTGTTTTGATTTTGCATTCTGTAATTTTGTTGCTATATCCCACCCTTCGAACTGAAACACAGCCATGCAAACACAACTGTTGCACAGCAGAAACACAAATAGGACAGAAGTACCCAAGCAGACGACTTTTGTACAGAGTTACTTCTGGTAAAGTCTTATACTTTTGAAATAATTTTACGTTTAATCTCCTATACGTCTCTGAAATCCTGGGAGTTAAAATAATTGATATCATAACAATTTGAAGTTCAAAAATTAATTCGTATACCAATAATTATCAACTTCGTCGACTATTAAATTCTTCTCTGCCACAATTTGGCTAGTAATACTCACCACAAAATATGTCGACCTGGGTGCCTACTTTAACTGCAATAATGTTTGAAAATGGCCCAGACCCAACTTCCAAATGGAAGTGAGACCACAGGCAGGTAGTTAGCGTTCAGTTTGAGTTATTTTAATGCTAATTTCGCTGCCATAGACGCCAGGCGCGACCGCTAACTATTCCGTACTGTCACCGTTTTGGCGTTTATGTCATAGATTTTTATATGTCTTTGTAAGTGAATAGATTATTCAGTACTATAATTATTCAATTACAATGGATATAAAAAAATAACAACTTTTCAATTGACTTCTGAAAGAAGGTCGTTTTTTTTTTGTTTTTTATAACACTGTTAGTTTCAAACCGATTTGGATTTGAATGAACCAAGACATTTCAGTATCAGTTCGATATATATATATATATATATATATATATATATATATATATATATATATATATATATATATATATATATATAGATATTGCTATACCCACTATTTGTTAATTTAATACACGTAGCAAGAGTGGCAGCGGGTTATCATTACCTATACATAGGAAGTCGGCAAACAGAGGAAGTTTTAAGTTCTCCGCGGCTAAAATTTGGAACGATCTGCCTCCGCCTCTCCACGAGGAAATGTCCCAGCTCTGTTTCAAATATAGACTAAAACGAGTACTATTGGAGAAACAAAATAAAGGAGAACATAACTATCGGTAGTATCTGATCCTCAATATGATATTTTACTTATGTGTGTATGTATATGTGTATGTATGTGTGTGTGTGTATGTATATGTGTATGTATGTATGTATATGTATATGTGTGTGTGTATGTATGTGTGTGTATATATATATTAGTATTTTTTTTTTAACTAGTATCAAGAAATAATTCTTGTAAAAAGTAATGTACAGTGGTACCCTGCACTTTGGTTGTTTTATAAGAGAGGGACTGGCTGAAAACCAGCGCTGTGTAGCTGTTCACATTGCGCTGGGACACTCACAGCATCCGCTGAGCCGGTTCCTTTTGCCGGGTGTGGGACACTTTTTGTATATGTCATTTATATTTTATATTGTAAGTTTACTGGCAATAAATGTTTCTATTCTATTCTATTCTATTTGTTGACTAGTGCATTATGTATATAATGCCGGTCTTGCCGAGCCTATTATAAATCCAGCTTAATGGGGATAAAGCCAAGTAAATTGACCTACCATGACCAATTCACCCCCACCATTGTATATTCCATGACCATGACAGATTAACAGATGATAGATTGTGGAGTAAAATATAGTTACTTGATTAATGTATAACTTTTTTTATAGCACGAAGGTTGCAAACAAGCATACAGCCCGTCTGATATTAAACGGTTACTATAACCTATGAATGCCAGAAATATTAATGTTATTTTATTTTCTTTTATTAATTTATTTAGCTATTTATTTATTTATTACCTTTAGACATCATTTCGTCAGTTGTCATAATAAAAAAAACAGATAATAATAGGTATATGTAAAAGGTATTATTAATCACTCCTGGGCCACTTACCCACTTCTATCTGTTCTCCTTTAACCAGAGGTTGTCTGTAAGAGATTGCCCTAGCGATAAGACCGCCTTTTGTATTTTTATATTTTTATTTCAATCCGTATTTATGTTACTATATTTCACTTGAACTATTCAATTTTCATTGTATATTTTTATTTATGATGCAATAAAGAATTAAATAAATAAATATAGTAACATATATATTTATTATATATGTTACTAGAGAGGTAACTACTGTTACTCATTTTGTCACAAAACTCTACCCATCATTGTTCTTAGAGATACAATATTGAATCAATCTTGACCCCGAGCCGTCCCTAAACTGATGAGACTCCGTGCAAAATATATAGCGGTCTCCCACCAATTTATTTGGCAAAGGGGTCATTGAAAACCATACTATGTTGACCGTGAACGCTTTAGTTCAGAGTGGATAGTTATATATACATAGATTTACGTTACAATAACATTAGCGTTTATAACAATTATGTGTATTAATAACTTATTTGCGCTTTTAGTGGATAGTTTTGGAAACTCAGATTTCCATACAAACTTATCGACATAAAGGTAAATGTTAATTAACGTCAAACTTTATACAACTCACACTGGATTCTCTGTTTTAAGATTTGAATGTTTTCCATTCAAACTTTTTTCTATATAAAAAAAAGATTAAGATGGGTAGTTATTTTTAAACTTTCGCGTTGTTTACACATATTTTAAATACACAATCGGTACTTAACGCGATTTAAATATCTTTACAAGTAAATAGTACCTACATACCTGTTTATTTATTGTCAAACGTTACTTTTTACATCTTTTACGTTTTACTATTTTTAAGCGTTAAGTCCCGATTGTGTATTTAAAGTATTAAGAAAGATCTTTTGTGACATATATACTCGTACTCAGCATATCGTGTAGTCCGGCATAGAACGAGCTACTCCTTCCTTTCCTGGTGGTGTCGTAGGAGGCGACTATGGGAACTTATACGATTGAGGCATGGACAACAACGTTCCTCTTAAAACATCACCAAAGCTTGCAACTGCAAACTGCCAAACGTAGCAAGCATGGCCGCTGCTCAGCTTTGAGGGGCAATGACCTACTTTAAAAGGCCCAATACCCTACCTAAAAATGAAAGGTTCCAAGAAAATTAGACAAATTTAGATTTTTCGAAGTCACTTAATTAAGGCTTTTGCCCTACTAAAAACTTCTTTTACCTACCTTAAAATTGGGTCTAGCTACAATCCATTACAGTACATATAGCAAAAAAACAACAGCCTGCTGAGAAAACAATGGGCTACTTTATTGCTAAAAGCGATCTCTTCCAAGCAACCTTTGGATAGCAATATGATTCTAGAAGTCTGCTTCAGAATGAGCATTTTCATCGCAAAAGACGTGAAAAGGCATTTTTCCCCGTTAAAAAATAAATGGGAAAATACTCGATACACTTTGTACGATCTTATCTACTTGCTACCTGTCGCATGTCATTAATTTCACCCGACTTCAAAAAGAAAGAAATACTGAATTCGGTTGTATTTTTTTATGTTTATCACCTCATAACTCCATCAGTTATAAATAGACTGGATTTTTTTTTTATCAAAAAGGATTTATTTATAAATCAGTTTCATAGAAATTTTAACAAATTCAGTTCAATAGTTTAGTTTTAAAATTAAAATAGCTGGTTTCTATATATATGAAACAAGAATTAATGTGTTCATTTAGGTAAACAGTGATAATTTACTTGAATTATCTAGACCTTTAGTTTTACGCTGGATTCTCCAGCGTAAAAGTCTAAAAATTTACATAACTGGTTATATCACAATTAAAGTTAGTTTATTATAGAAGACAATCTTACCTTATTAATAACTGAATAACTAACAGTAACGGAATGTGGTTCAATTATTTGACGAATTTTGTTACGAACAATTACTAAATCAAATTTTAACTCGTACGCGATCTTTAATTAGTCTAAAATAACATTACAAAAGTATCTTCAATGAAACAAACATGTAATTTCCTGTTATTTATTATAATAATGTATAAGAATATTCTATCAATTAAATATATAATATAAAGATTATTATATATTAGAATATAAATAAACAGATCTTTATTTAAATTATTAGTATATATTTGTTTATTCTATCGATTCTCATTTTGGACTACTGAGAAGTCGCACGTTTGAAATTAAGAAACGAAAACATTTTATTTCGCAATTGCGGCTTAATTGTTATTAACTTTTTATTTTTATTTATATATACATAGACGCTATGTATTTAGGTCTGAAAGATTGAATAGTAACTAGTACTTTAGAAAAATCAACGTCGACTTCCACGTATCATAACGAAGTATAAAACATTGATAAACGTTTTAAATGTTTCAACTATTCACACGAAACTTAAAAATTATAATAATTAACTTAATATATGAAATTTAACTCATAGTGGATAATAATTAAATGCTGACTGTATTAAGTTTTATTACTCAATCAATCAATCAATCATCTTTATTCATATACATCTGTTACAGATACTTATGATACGTCAGTCTATAATTATAATAATTACTATAGAAAATAATATTGATTTAAGAAAAAATGCAATAATTACATTTACAATACAATTCACATTAATACAAAATTCAAATCCATGCAGTTTTGTCATTTAAATAGTCATTTAATTTATAATATGCTTTTGTACAGAGAGTCCTTTTTATATATGTCTTAAATTTTCTTTCATTTAATTGTAAAACGTCATCTGGAAGTTTATTATAAAAACGTATACAGTTCCCCATGAAAGATGTACTGACTTTTCTAAGGCGATAACAAGGAACATTCAATTTGTTTTTATTTCTTGTATTGAAATTATGTATGTCACTGTTATTTTTAAAAATATTTATATTTTTACGTACATACATAATGTTTTCGTATATATATTGCGAGGGAACAGTAAGTATACCTGTTTGCTTAAAATATTCTCTAAGAGATTCCCGAGAAGGCAAATTAAATATTGACCGAACTGCTCTTTTTTGCAGTACAAAGATTGTATCGATGTCAGCAGCCCTCCCCCATAATATAATGCCATATGACATGATACTGTGAAAGTAACTAAAATATACAAGCTTAGCTGTTATTGTATCAGTTAATTGTCGGATTTTTCTAACAGCATAAGCAGCTGAACTCAGCCTGTTGGCCAATTCAAATATAAGGGAGCCCCATTGCAACTTATAATCAACTACTATGCCAAGAAAAGTGGTTTTATCTACAAAGTCTAAATCCTGGTGGTCTAATCTAATAGCGGTATTCACTTGCTTAGTATTGGATATGGAAAATCTGATACATTTAGTTTTTTTTTTAATTAAGTACTAGATTATTTGACGTAAACCATATCAAAACCTTAGACAAAGCAACATTTACATGGTCAAGGTTATGTGTATTTCTATTCACTTTAAACATTAGTGAAGTGTCATCAGCAAATAATACAATATCAGACAAATCTTGAACATGATACGGTAAGTCATTCATGTATATAAGAAAAAGAAAAGGACCCAAAATAGATCCCTGAGGCACACCCATTTCAATATAAGATCCACTAGAATTGACACCGTTTACTTCTACTATTTGAATTCTTGAATTTAAGTAAAAGGATACTATTTTATGTTCTAGCTTCAAATTTTACATATGTACCCCCTACAGCTTTGATATTAAAATCGCCTTGAAGAAGACGAATAGGATCTGAAGTGTTCTTGCTTTTGAGGATCTTGAAGTTCAGTACCAGATCTGTCACCAGTACTTTGAGCTCTATCAACGCAAATCTGGAACCTAATATAAAAATATACATATTATATTACTCAGAACGAAGTTATTGGTTATTCAATTTATAGAGTAAATATTTTATATATGAAACCAACGAAACACTTTCACCAAAGAAATATGGGTCTAAAATAGGTGTGTGTATGTGTTTTGGTTTGAAGTGTGGGATATAGCATAGAAATTACAAGGTACAGAAATATAACACCTTAGTTATCTAAAATGACAACACATGAGTGGTATCATAGGCGACTGCCGTATACTCTGTTATAGCCATGGTACTGTTCATGTCTATAGGGAATGGTTACCAATTTCCATTAGATAGAACGACAAACAAGCTAACGGCCTATGTTATATAAAAAAAAAAAGAAAAAAAAACACAAAATATCAAACCCAACACGTTCGGATAGGATGATACTTTGTTTTACACATCGCTAACAATTTCCATTTTACCCTCTAAATTTTGAGAAGTTTTAAAATCAAATACTCTTGGAACTCAAGTGCAAGAACTGCAAAAGTGAAAGCTGATAGAAATATATGTCTAAATTATCAGAATAAAATTGCTGACTAATCAACTTATAGCTTTTAAGGAGTTCTCATATCGAGCACTCTTAATTTTGACTTAATTACTCGATCAAATAAGAATTTTACGAACAATCAACCTTCAAGTGGTGAACCGACCGTAATTTAGAGTTTGGTAATGAGAAAAAAATGTGACAATCTCTTCTTATTGTACTAAAAACGAGCTAGTTATCTAGCTGTGAGACTATATTAAATTTTGGTTAGATTTAAAATATAACTGTAATCATCTACATTTCTGCCATATGTGTTTCTTAAATCTCAAATAATAAAGGAACTGATCTAAGCTACTAAAATGACCATCTGATTTATTGATGATAGATTCAACAGATTTTTAAACTTTTTTTTTTCATTTAAGAGTTTCCTCTTGTCGGTGCAACTAATTCATGCATCTTCCTCCAGCCAGCTCTATACTAGACCATATCCTTTATCTCCCTATACGACATGACGCCTAGTGTTTAAACTACAGTTATCAATATACAATGTCTATTAATTTTCTATTAAGTTTCCTATTTCTTTTTTATCGGTTATTTAAACTAAACTGCTAATTACTTCTAATAACCTTCAAACTAAATTGATTATTCTAGTTCGTCTGCATTCTCGTTTTAAATTACCAAGAATCTAAGAATGATTTAATATTTATTGAAAATAAATACGATAGTTACATACCAATGCAATTTCTTGGACCAATACCAAAAGGCATGTAGGTAGTTGGTTTTATATCAGCTATATTCTTATCCGAAAACCTGTCAGGGTCAAATACTTCAGGATTTGGATAGTACTTTTCGTCCATATGTATACTGTTTACCATGTTGTAAACAATGTCACCGGGTCTTATCTGCCAGAGAAGGAAAATAAATATTTTAAAGCCTATTTATTTAGTAGAAAACATTGTAATGGGGTTTAATATTCATTTTTTTTTAAGAAACAGATATATTACTTTTAATACAATTCAGGATATTCATTAGTTTAATATACTTCTTTTGTATTAATATTAGTTAAACTGTCACCAAAACTTACTTGGCAAGGTTTTCCTCCTTCTCTTGGTGGCGGTAGCACATATGGTTTACTGCATACGCGATCCATAAAGATAGCAACTGACCATTTCCTCAATGTTTCTGCAATAAAATAAACATATATATTAAAAGTATATATACGTAATTAGAATATTTAGATTCCCTTTTTTCTCATGGGTGTGATAAGAGGCGACTAAGGGAACTTAATGATCGAGCGATGGGCAGCAGCATCCCTTTTAGAACATCACCAAAGCCTAACTACGGTTGCCAATCCGCCTGCCAACTTCGGGCAAAACCCCCACTTGATAGTGGCCAATTTTTAGCAGTAGACAGTACATGGCTGATATGATGACGATGATGACATTTAGATATTTTAACTATTTTTTTGTACTTTTTGCTTACCAGACACTATAGCATCCAAATATTTCAACTTGCTCAAATTTTCATACGTCAAAGTTTTGTGTTCCTCTTTGTAGTCTCTGAGTTCCTGATACAACTTCTCTTGTATCTTTGGATTCAAAGCTAACTCGTGGATGCACATGGTTATAACTCCAGCTGAGCTCTCGAAACCAGCCGCAAAAAATATGAACACTTGGCTAGTTATTTCGTTTGCAGACCATTCTAGAAAAAGGTTTTCTTTTATTATTTTACATCAGACTTGTAATAGACTACTGATGATCCAAACAATAGCAAGTAGATTTCTTTTGAGTAAAGACTTCCAGCTACGTTTTTTATTTAAACATAACAATTGCTCAAGTTTTAATTTTCTCTGCTCTACTGCTACTTCGTCCTTAATGATTTGCAAGAAACCAAATTTAATTTTCACCTTCTTGACATGTTCACGGAATACAATTAAGTATTAATAAAACAATTGTTATTCTTTTAAAACGTTATACACAAATTACATACCTCTGGTAACGTTCCGAGATTTTAAACCCTCCTCAGTCGCAGCGAAACCAACATTATCTTTTTCATTGCCACTGTCTTTCAATGTTCCTGTAAAAATATTTTAATGTTTCTATAAAATCAATTATTGTTAGATCATTAGTAATGAGGATTAGCAACCTCATTACTAGTAATATTCTCTATCGAGTCAACCTTTGCGTGAAAACCATCGTCGTCAATTTCTAGTAAATTTATCAGGATAGACCAGCTGGTCATAATTTCATTCCCACCTGTCATCACTCACTGGTTCCCTGCCAGCGTATACCGATAGCGCAGGCTGAGTACGTTTTCATCATCACTCATTAAAAGAAATACGTCAATTATTAACATATAATGTTATCGTTTATATACAGGTGTTTGCTAGTTAAATCTATATTAAACTTATATTTATGTAGAAATATAATTAAAATATAAAAATCATATTCCAATATATCTATATGTTATTAAGTATATTTTATATTCGGTATAAAATGTTATACCACTGTAATAATAATATTAATGAAATTTTTATCAATTAAACAAATATACAGACTGATAGACAGATTAAATTTCTAAAAATTATTATTTTAACATCTAATGGTAGGATCATTAGATGTTATAAAGATTTCTCATATTAATTTCTCTTAAGTATCTCCTCTACAGATATACCTTAGTTTCAATGTTATTATATTAATGAGGCTTGCCTTATTTATGGCAATACGTTGATTTATGTCTATCAATGGTTCTATTTTATTTTTATTTTCATCTCAATGTTACTTATTACTAGAACTACAGACTATTCTGATTAATAGTTAAATAAATAAATAATTTGTTAAATTTCTCGTTTGATTGTTAATATTACCTTTAGTAGCTTCCATTAATAGGTGGATCATATCAGGTCGCACAACATTATTCTTCTCTCTATAATTAATTGTATCTTGAACAGTGTTTTTGAAAAAGTCCATTGTCTCTTGTGAGAATAATTTGACATTCGATATCTGTATCCAAATATATAAAGTATAAAAAAATATTTTCATACAATTCTGCAGAATGTATGTATATTACTAAATTTTGCTACAGCTTTTCTAAATGGTGATGTAGATTATTATGATCTTTGAATGTTTGACTAATTGTTACTTCATCATCATATGAGTCTTTAACCATCCACTGTTGAACATAAGCCTCCCCCTTGGGGGGTTTTTACAATAGTTGCCATGCTTGACAGATGAATTTGTAACCGAAGTGTCGCTTTGGAGATATTTTAGGAGAGACGCTGCTGTCCATGCCTCAACCATTAAATTCCTTTAGTCTTTTTTTTTTATTTATTTTTTATACAACTTAGAATGGCAAACAATCTGACGACCCACCTGATGGAAAGTGGAAACCGTCGCCTATAGACATAAGCAGTACCATGGACATAATAGAGTATACTGTTTCGCCCATAATACCCCCCATGCGTTGCCATTCCAGGGGACTCAGGTGTTATTCCTCTGTACCCTGTAAATTCACGCCATATCCCACCCTTCAAACTGAAACACAGTCATGCAAACACAACTGCTTCACGGTAGAAACACGAATGGGACAGAGGCACCCAAGCAATCGACTTTTGTACAAAGTCTCCCTCGACTTTACGACACCCACAGGGAAGGAAGGGGTGGCCTATTCTGTATTAGGACCTATTCTAAAACCACTCGGCAATTTGTTACTTAATTACAATTAAGTTAATAAATAAATAGCAAAGTAGATTTCAATTAAATTTGATATAGCATAATCTATAAATAATACACTTTTGTTAAGAGAGAGACTGAAAACCAGAGCTGTGCAACTGTACACATTGCACTGGGACACTCACAACATCATCTGATCTAGTTCTTTTTGCCTAATACATATGAGACACTTCTTATGTAAAATATTTCTGTATTTTTTGTTGTAACTGCATGTATTCCTGGCAATGAATATTTTCTATTCTATTCATTTACAACAGCAGAATACTTTGAATCCTAATTAACGTGAGTAAAACGTAACTAGTAAAGAAATAATACCTTGCTAATTATGGGACACTGAGCAGTAACAAAATGCATAATCTTCTGCTTGTAGTTGAAGTTGAATAAATTTGCTGCCATTCTAAAGAATTCATTATCCCTGTCCTTAACGGAGTTGACTTCAAGTCCGAATCCCGCTGATGCTATCACATCGACCGTATATCGACGGACAAGGTCGTCCACGTTGCTTTCATTAGAAGGATGTTCTGATATGACAAGAAGAATAATATCATCGATTTTACAATTCATAATCTTAAATATATTTCGTTGCTGGAAATTCTTGAAACTTAGTAAAATTTAAAAGCTCTATTGGATTAGTGAAAATACTTGTATTGTTTTCATATCTTTGTGATGGCAAAATCTTTTCCATAATATTTGATACGATGATATCATCATCACCATTTCAGCCGTTATTTGTCCACTGTTGGACAGGTCTTCCCCATAGACTGCCATAAGGAACGGTCCTGAGCCACCTGCATCCACTGAATCCCTACAATACATTTGAGGTCGTCACTCCATCTAGTGGGAGTCGTCCTACACTGCGTTTACTCGTACGTCGTTACCCAAGAATCTTTCTTTCATTTCCATCGGTTGTGACTTCTTCGAATTATGTGGCCAGTCCATTGCCACTCCAGCTTGCATATTCTTATGATGATATAATTATTATAGTTAAATTAAAGCTTGTAGAAGTATTACAAGTTACAAAGTCAGTAATTACTGCGTTATTTAAAATGCCATACTGTATTGTAACCCATTTATTATCGAAACTAGAATAAATTAAAGCCAGCAACTAGAAGTGTCGACAAGCTGTTTATAAATATGTCTCTGTGCCCAAAATATCGATGTCGATAACTACCATAAATGATCTAGGTATTTTATACTGTAAAATTTACAAGTTTAATAAACCGGTTGCATAAATTTCTTATAAGTGTTTTATGACCTATTACTAGTGTTCCCACTTTAAATCTGTATATTTATCTATTTTTTTAATATATTTATAATTTTACATCATAATATTTATTTAGTAAGTAATAACAAATAATGGGACAGATAAAGGAAATACTACGTGTCATGTCGTATAGGGAGGTCAAAGATATGGACTGGAATAGAGTTGGCTGAAAGAGAATGCATGAATTAGTTGCACCGACAAGGGAAAGCTCTTAAATGAAAAAAGTGAGAGAGTAACAAATACAACGATACCTTTAATGTAGTCAACTAAGTTCTTGCTGATTTCAGTCATGAATGGCAACATTTGCTTTATTTTGGAGCCGGTGAACGCTGGGCTGAGGGTTACTCGCATATCGCGCCATCTGTCGTCTGCAAATTACAATTAGTTATTTCCAATTATTCCTGAACCCTCTACATTCAGAGAAACACTATAGCATGTTTCAAATCACCACACTATCTCATGGAGTACCCCAATTAGTGATAGTCTACCCGAGGTTGTCAGTTTTACAAACTCTTTAATAATTTCTAATTGTAGTTTTCTTTTACCATTTACAGGGATAACTACAGTAATAGCGATTTATTTATTAATATTTAAGGATATTATTCATTTTATAATTTATTTAATTATAATTTATGTAATATAATTAACTGCTATATCCACTTTGTTTAAAATTTATCATATACAGGGTGGAAGGGACAGGTTAGCCAAAATTAAAACAGCTGATTCAGATAAACATTCTGAATCTGATAGCAGATTATTTTCCTACCGGAAAACCAGCACAGTCATATAATTAATAATTATTAGTTTTGATGCCGCCCAATGTATTTGAGATTTTTCGATTCACACGACGCGCGATACCTACACAGAGCGCTCAATGGCGCTTCTTCGTGGGTAGTTTCGTATGCTAGTGGCATTGACCTTACACAGCTGATTCCGCGCGTCGCGGTAAGTTTTTACTATGAATATTACATTTATATTTTTTTAATATTTCATAGTATGTCACTATACAGTATTATTATTTGTTATATAACATAATATCAAAGATAACATTATTTTAAAAGAAAAAAAAGGAAAAATGTTGAAAAATTTCCACTGGGTTTCAGTTCAAAATAATGGTCTGAATTCATTACTTTAGTTTATGCCAACCTGTTCTTTACACACTGTATAGATAAATACATATATAAATGTTTACTTTACCATGCATCTGTATCAAGCTGCTTGCTAACAAAGGTACTATGTCTCTATTAAAGAAATCCCTGTGATTAACAAAGTGATCGAAGTCCTTAACAGTGATTGCTTTTATCAATGTTGGCTCTCTGATAATGATTGCGGGTACAGTGCCTTCGATGAACCCGACATATCTGTAAATCAAAATGAATGGACCTTTTAAAGATTTATAATTATTTGCATGTACATAATCGCCCTATCAGAGGAAGAATTTGTACAAAAGTAATTTGCATGGGTACCTCTGTCCTATTCGTGTTTCGACTGTGAAGCAGTTGTGTTTGCATGGTTGTGTTTTGGTTTGAAGGGTAGAATATAGCAGTGAATTTACAGGGTACAGAGGAATAACACCTTAGTCCTCAGGAATGGCAACGCATGAGGAGTATCATAGGCGAAATAGTATACATTGTATGTCATGCATCACGACGGGCCAATTGACCTGTTTTCATTCTCACCTTACTATCCATACCTCACTGGTGCCCCTCCAGTGTATGCTGATAGAGCAGGCGGAGTTACCATTCGATGCGGAAATGGGGGACGAATTTACATTATATTACACAAGTTAGTGTAGTAATATAAACAACTGTACAAACAAATGTATTTCATTTATTTTTCTTATTGGACTAATAAATTCGCACAATATAACTGTTCAACTTGCAAATTGTCAGAAAATTCTGTCAGAATTGAGCAAATAAAATACTCATTGAAACACTTTGTTTACCTACTTATATATTACTTATACTTATATTATACTTCGTAATAAATTAAAACACGACACAGGTATTCGTATTTTAATTTATTACTATTTATTATTATTATTTATTTATTATAAAATAGGCCATCCCTTCCTTTCCCGTATGTGTCGTAAGAGCCGACTAAGGGAATGCGAGGGACGAGTAGCAGCGTCCCTTTTGAAATCTCCAAAGCCTAACTGGCGGCATTATGCTGTAGTGTCCCTGACACTACAGCATAATGCTGAGCACGGACCTCATTTTGCAGGTATTGCGACGCATGCACACATACACTCATCTTTGATGAAACTGTTATAATACGAATTGTTTTATTTTTCTTTTTTAATTTTATATTCTTTTTTTATATATATATGTAAATATTTCTTGTGTTATTCTTTATTATAATTCTTAATATATGACTTTTTTAACCCCTGTGTTGTCGCATATTTCTGTAAAATAAAGTTTCTTTCTTTCTTTCTTTCGGTTGCCAATCCGCCGGCTAAACGTGGCAACTACTAGTAAAACCCCCCAAGGGGGAGGCTTATATTCATCAGTGGACAGTTAAAGGCTGATATGGTGATGATAATTATTATTATTGTAAAACGACATGTTGCCACACCATCACACCATCCTGAGCGAATACAGAGACAATATGGTACATGAACTCGATTAACCGAAAAGAGAATGATTTACGCTCCATACATCAAATATTTTATTGAATTTAGTTGCTTTTTATTAGTTCACATATATATAAGGAGTAAAATAACTACTTCATATAATACAATCGAACTATTATTGTATCATAGCAGAGTTATTCTCTAACTCCTAACCAAGGAGTTTGGGGGGAAAGGGATTGTTAGTAATGGAGACTGAGACTCCCATTGCTAGCAATATACCCAACCAGGTCGACCTTCTCGCGGTTCCTCCTTAAAACTATCATGGTTAATTCCTGATGAATTCATCATGATGGGCTAACTGGCCTGTTTTCATTCTAATCTATTACCCTTCACTGGTGCTCCGCCAGCGTATTCCGTTAGCGCAAGCGGGGTTACGATTTCATTTTCACCCATCAAAAAATTAACCGAGGAGTTTACTATGGTTATCCCTAAACTCCTAACTTCTTCCATCATCAGCTTATCTGGATTACTTAAGGGAGTATAATACCTAACGGATTATACGTATCTATAGTATCTAAACAATTACTCTCTAGCTCCTAACCATTAAGGAGTTGTGCTTTCCATTATCATCTCAATAGCATGAAATAATAACTCCCAGAAGCAATCATTCAAGTAACTTGATAAAACCTAAGAAACGGTCTATATGTGCTTATAATATTCAGAGAATGGTCCCCTAACTCCTAATCCTTGAGGAGTTAGACCTTCTACAATCAGCTCACCTCAGTAACTGAAGTGAAGAGAGTATAGCAAGTAACAGACTAACATGATTAAAGCATTTAAAGATTGACTTGGTGACAGTGGAACCACTTTCAAAGAATCGCCAGCTCATACACTTTCAAGAAAAAAAAATTTTTGAAATCTGTCCACAATTGACGGAGAAATCGGTGGGCATACATATATACAGCCGAACATATAACCTCCTTTTTTGAAAGGGGTTAGCTGGGCCACCGTGGTGAATTTACAAGGAATCAAACACGATAATTTCCAAGGAGAATTCCACCTGAAATTCGACCTGACTGGGTTCTTTGGCAGCTTGTGATCATAATCTTAGTTACTAACAATCTCCGCAAGAATTTTCAAGATATCAATAAAGGTGAATAAAGTAATGAAGCACAAAACATAAGTAAGCGACACATATGCTAGGGTAAAGGGTTATTAATAATGGGTACTAACTAACCTTGGAAACCATTGTGAATAATTTGTGATGAATTCGTCTCCATGAGCCAATTAGCCTGTTTTAATTCTCGCCTATCATCCCTCACTAGTGCCCATCCAGCATATTATGATGTCACAGGCAGGGTTCTCATTCCATTATCAGACTTTACAAATTCTTATATATGGACAAATTCGTGAGAGAGAGAGACAGAATAAATAAGATAATGTAAAACAATTCAAAGTAACCTGATATGTAAATTAACACGAAATTGCGTCGCAAATTGTCGAAAATAAAATTAAGCAAAATTCAACTATATTATATAATTTAAATAAGAAACAATATAAAATCTTACTTCTCGTCCGGAAAAGCTCTGTAGACAGCGTCGACGTCTTCCCAAAAATGCTTCTTCGAAATGAAAGTTTGAAACATATTCCCGAACAAAGGAATACCGGGCACGAATTTGACATCTCTCTTTCTAAAGAAATCATGTATTTTATAATGAAGGTACAGATAATATGATATTAAAAATGTGGCAAAAAACATTAATAACTCCACAAACATTGTGGCGTCGTATGTTCACCGCGTGTATGGAAGCAATAGTGGAAGTGAAAACTCAGGCGCTAGATCTGCGGGCTGATTTTCAACCGACTTCAAGGAAGTTTTGAATTGACTCTAAATTCGGTTATATTTTTTTTACGTTTGTTACCTCATAACTTCGTCAGTTGTAAGTCAACTTGGAATTTTTTTTTTTTCATCTAAAAGGATTTACTTACAAATTGATCTCATGGAAATTTTATCAAAATCAGTTTAGTAGTTTAGTTTTTAAAATAGCTGGTTTTGCCATTATGGAAATAGTGCTCTTGAAATTAAAATCGGTTTTAGGTCGAACTAAATTTATTTCAAAAACTCCTTGTAATTTCTGACTTCAACGTTGTTTTTATTTTCAATCGACTTCAAAATGAAGGATATTCTCTATTCGGTTGTATGTTTTTTTTTTTTTTAATTTTTGTTACCTCATAACTCAGTTGTAAACCGATTTGGAAAATTCTTTTTTATTTGAAATGATACTTACGTAAGAATCCTGTAGAAATTTTAACAAAATCAGTTCATTAGTTTAGGTTTTAAATCAAAATATATGGTTTTACCACAACTGAATTTGGTTCTTTTTTGAGAAATACAATTTAAATATATACTCTTATATATTAATGTTATGAGGGCTACTTTCGCAACTCAAGGTCATTTATCATAACAACAGTTATAATACTTTATTATTATTAATTAATTTAGATACATTCCAACCGTTAATATTTCACTTGTTATTTGATCAGAATTATTTTGTTTAATTCCGCTATTATTAGTATGTGTATGACTGCCAATACTCGATTGATTAATCAAGACTCAGAAGTTCCACAACCTTCCATATTAGCCATAAGCCTCAGACTGCCATTTTGTTCGCGCCTGTTTTGCTGCACGTGTTTCACCTTTAAACGAGACATCATTACATAAATCATTAGATCGCTGCTCGGAGCCTAGTGTTAACCGTTCGGCACCTAAACTGTGAATGTTGAAATTGGCAGTCACACACATACCAATGGTAGTGGAATTAAACAAAATTATTTTGTTCAAATAACCAGCAATATGGACTTCCGCAAGTTTAGTTAATATAGAGTTCAGTAAAATATTTCAAATGCAATAATGAACAGTTCATTACCACTTCTATCAACTATGTTACTAATTTTAAAGAGCAATATGCATGCACCTACAACCTGGGACGCATGTAACAATGTGACTTTGTTTATACTATTTTCATTAGACTAATATGAATCACTCAATACTTATCACTTGCGTTTAAAGGCTGCGATAACCGCTTACCATCAGGTGGGCCATATACTTGTTTGCCACCTCAACGGTTTATAAAATAAACTTGTCAATGAACCAGAATTGCACACCAAATGCTCCATAGATTCCAATTCCACACTGTAATATCTACAGTCTCATAAGCTAAACTCATGTAATGTGTGCGATCATGTATCCAGTTAAATTTCTCATGTTGAGCTTCATCTGCTTTGTCATAGTTAAGTTTATCCTATTCTTCTGCTTTATTTTGCTGAAACTTCTTATAGCTCTTTAAAGGTTGACTATATTAAATCTCTCTTTGGTATAAGTTCGGCATTGTATATAAAATCTTTTTCATATGTCCAATGTTAAGTAAGTACAATAAACATAATAACAACTTGTTAGATTCCTAGAAACCATTCAATAACTTACTGTAAATATATACATAAAGTTAATACTGTATGTTCAACAGTAAGTATTGCGTAATTTCTAGTAATACAATTACTCGAATACCAATGAAATAAGAACAATGTTTTTCGAGTGTATGTACTTGCATAGAAGGAAGAAGGGGGAGAGGGAGACCGAGACATAGTTACATCAGGCAGATCAAGGAAGGAGTTGGTGTCGTGTCGTATCAAGAGGTGAAGAGACTCGCTGAAAATCGTAGTGAGTGGCAAGAGCTCCACCGACAAGAGTGCAGCTCTTAAATAGGATAGATAGATAGGTAATTGCATACTTATGCTAAATATTTGGCGTAATAGATAGCCCGAATTGGATCTTGAATTTTTATAAATGTGATGTTAATGTTAATGTTGCTGATGATGTTAATGATAACATGACGATAATTTATACTACACATCAATTTAAAGAACCGATCGTTTCTAACCTCGCGTTATTTTAATAGCTTAACAATATAACACATATGTAGACCATAGTTTTATCTGCCACTTTGTCTGCATATCTTGGGTGAGTTGATTAACTAGAATAAATATAGCCTGGACTTAATAATATTTCAGTATTAATAACAGTATTTCCGAACCGATACGACAACATAACCTTAAAGAAAAGAGCATATTCCTTTTTAAAAGGCCGGAAGCACACCTGCAATGCCGTAGGTGTTGCGGGTGACCATGGGCGGCGGTAGTCACTTACCATCAGGTGAGCCGCATGCTCGTTTGCCCTCTGTATTGTAAAAAAAAAACTATTGTTAAGTATACTAATAATGACACTAATAAACGGACTGAAAGAAATGTCCTTTACCAAGCAAATTTTAATTAAGATTGATTCGATAAAGATGTTAAGTGACAATAGACTTACTTTTACATATATAATATTAGTAAATATTTATTTTTATATAACGTAGTATTTTTTTTTATATAACGGCATTCTTGCAATCTATTTAAAAATGCAGCTTGCCGAACAAACTTTGGTCGCGAATCACCTATCGTCCGCATAACGCGTCTGTATAACGATATTGTAAAAACAAAGCCTGAACTTGATATTCACAAAGATAGTCACTCTGTATTCATGGCTAAATTAAAATGTTGATGTACCTCCCCATTACATTATCTTTATTTATAATTTATAATAATTTAAATACAATTTTCCATTATTTATATTGTATTTGCTACGGTAACCGCTTACCATCAGGTGGGCCGTATGCTTGTTTGCCACCTCAGTGGTATAAAAAAAAAAAAAAAAAAAGTATTATTCATATTGTTAATATCTTTACTCATATAATGACATTTAATAATTTAATTATATTTTAATGTTTATCAAACACAAGGCATGTTGTGGTTGCCTATAAATGTAGGAACAGTAAGATCTAATCTGCCAGTGTATTGTATTAAAATGTTTAGCTGTATCATATGTTGGTAATCCTATAAATAAATAAATAAATTTTGCATTAAACTAGGGATATTAGATTCGTCAAATTCTTTCGAACCAACTTTCCTTTGCAACTTCGGTGGAATACGTTCCGCGAGCTTACGTCTACTGCATTCTTCGCATGCCTCGCATTTCAGCTGCATTTATTTCACTTTCATTTTCATTCGTTGGAACATTTTACTATTAATTTCTTACTAGTATAATATTACAAATATAAAAGTATGTTTGTTTGTTATTTCTTAACGCTTTAACGGTTTGACAAATCGAATTGAAAGAGAAGACTTGCATTCAGGGTATCCTTGGAATTCTTTTCTCACTGCTTGCCATTGCCATTTCTCAATCATTAAGTTCCCTTAGTCGCCTCTTACAATACCCACAGGAAAGGAAAGGGTGGCCCATTCTATATCAGGAGCACGCGGTTATGTAATACTTAGAGCAGGAAAAAGCAGCTGTAGAAATACTTAAGCAGCACTAATTTCAGAGTAAAATTTTTATCTACAACTTTTTTATGCAACTTAGAATGACAAACAAGCTGATGGCCCACATGATGAAAAGTGGTAACCGTCACCTATAGACATGAGCAGTACCATGAGCAGAACAGAGCATACTGTTTCGCCCATGATACCCCCCATGCGTTGCCATTCCTTCGTGTGGGTAGATAAAATTAAATCAAAAGTAGATGAAATGATTTTTAAAATCGGTTTTGGAGTTTATCCATTTTAAACAAAAAAAATCTTTCCCAATATTAGTGTCGATTGATATATTGATTTCATATTGCATATTGTTGAGCGATCATAGCAAAGTCAGTGAATCTGACAATCGGATCCTAATTGATAGTTGTTCATCTTGTACAATTATATATCGTGCACTTAATGACATTTAATGCAGTTGTTATTTTTGCCTGAGACATCATAATCAGTAAAAATGGACTCCAATTGGTTTTTGTATAGATTTTATAATCGTTTCCATTCGTGGCATATTTTAGCGTCGAATGCTATTCAGTAATTAACAGATTTATTTTTCTTATACAACTTAGAATGGCAAACGGCCCACCTGATGGAAAGCGGTAACCGTCGCCAATAGACATAAGCAGTAGCATGAAGAAAACAGAGTATACTGTTTCGCCCATGATACCCACATGGGTTGCCATTCCTGAGGACTCAGGTGTTATTCCTCTGTACATTTTAGCTTTTTAGCTAAATCGATTGTTAATAACCGCCATTACAGGTCAAGGAGAAATTCACGCTGTTCCGTTATCCTTGAATCCGTTACAATAGATCAATTGACGTAACTGTATCCTCATCTACCATGTCATCCTGGTACTCCTCTAATGCAAACCGATAGGTTAGCCGATATTTCTTTCGTAATATTTTTTCTTTAAATTCACATTATATCAATTATTTCTGTAAAATGAATATCTGTAGTTACGAAATACAAAATGTAAACATACCATTCAGGGGAAAAACTTAAAAGAACAATAATAACACGCGCCACACTATCAAAACCAATTGTTTGATTCTCAACACATGTTATTTCGATAAAAGTAATAAAGCAATGAACTCTGAAGGCCAAACTTATAAAGAATATAGTCAGCTTCAAACATAGATTGATAGGTTTTTCAGTTTTAAAATTTATTAGACGTTCTATCTCGGTACTGTAATGGAAGTCATTACTTCATATTTGTACAGGTGGACTTTTGTGAGCGACACATTGATTTCCGCTTGAGATTACTGTATGTTACAGAGGATATATTGATAGCAATGGGAACCTTCCCATTACTGACAATCCCTTCCCCCCATGTCTATGATTAGGACGATTTCCATTATTGTCCACTAAGAATAATTCACCATAATGGGCTAACCAACTTGACTGGGGACAAAAGGACTGTTAGTAATGCGGACTATAAGTCCCATTGCTAGCAATATACCC